GCTTGTCAGTTGTTCAGTCATTATCACTGACTTCAATGACTTAGTTGCCTGACAGCTCTTCCATCTCATATTAACAGAATTGATGCACTTTTTCTTTGAGAATGATCATTGTATGAAGAGTTTAATCTGTGATATTGATTTCAGCAATAACAGTCATTCATTTTCAATTTTCAGATTGAATCAGTTTTAAATAATTAGTTTGTTCAGACTCTGTCATCACTCTAGCAGTGCTAATAACTTTCATCTGAAATTCAGTCTCATCAAAGTTGTAGATATCATCTTTCAAAATTTCATACTTTGCAATGATGTTTCATACAAGTCTAAATCACTTATAAATAATCTTAAAATTCTCACCTAGAGCTCATTGATGATTGTACTTGCATGAGAACTTGAATTTGAGCTCAGAATGATGATTAATAAATTGATTAACTCAGCATTTATCAACTGTAGATGAAGATTTGACCTCAGTGCTAGAATCTTAATTGATAAAAAGAAAATTGACTGTTTCTTGTACAGTATACACTCAAGAAAACTGATCATATTCATTCATGAATAAAATTCACTATACAAGAACTGACTCTTCAGTAAAGATTAATTTTCAATTGTTGAGTTGAGAATTTTCTTATGTTATATAATTATTCAATCAGTTTTGTAAAATGATAAAAGAAATGTTGTACAAGCTTGCAGCTTTCTTACTACTTAAAGTTTGACCTCTTTTTAATATCTGAATAGTCAAAAGAATTTTTTCTTTCTTAGTGGAAGCTTGAAAAGATCATAGAGTGAGCATTTTGTTGATGTGAATGCTAGACATATACATATTAAATAAATCAATCAACTAAATGATTCAATTAACTAAGTGATAAATTACATTATCTATAATTATTATTATATAATTTTTAAATTTTTCTACTTTACTTATTGATAAAATATAAAATAATTATAATAAATACATAGTTAAAATTAATATTGAATGAATTTAAATATTCAATTGACTTTAAAAGTAATAATAAAAATATCAAAAGTATATATTTAAAGTATTATATATATTATTTTATATAGAAATTTTGATTAAATTAAAAAGTTTTATTTATATACATTAGTAATTATTTAAGAAGATTTTTCTCTTCAAGCTATATTAATTTATAAATATTTATATATTTTTAAAATCTTTATCTTTATTATATATTTTAAATTTATATAAAGTAATAATCAACTATATATAAGATTCTTGAAATAAAAATATTTTTAAAAAAAGTATGAAGAAATAATATATTAAAAATAATTGAATTAAATATTTAATAATTTTTAGAGAGAATTCACTACTTAATAATAAAGTATATTAATTATATTAAATGATTTAATCAATGATAAAATTATATTTTTATAATCTTAAAAGTTTTAAAATGAGATTCTCAATTATTATATTGATAATATAAAATAGTAAATTATTATTTAAAAAATTTCTTCTAAATTTAATTTATATAATATTAAAATAATAATATAATATCTTATTAGAAATCTTTACTGTGTCAGAGAATACTTTTAGAGCAATGTATAAAAGTGAAATATGAAACTTAAATTCACTTTGAAGTTAACTAAACATCACATCTCTTAGAACTTACTAGATAAAGTAATTTCTATTATGATATGAACCCAGATATATTCAAATTGTCAATCTTTGTTTTGATTTTTGATTGGCATATTGATTAGCAGTAAATGGATGTTCTTTGAAGAGATTCCTTCATAGTGGTTTTCCCAGTCTCAGAGAACGGATGACACTGGCAGAACCAAGAGTGAGTGCAATCGCAGCCATTTAAAGAAAAGAAAAGAAAAGAAAAGAGGGAATCCTGAGATTCATCTCCAATCAGAAGGCTGGCAAGGAGAGGGAAGAGGCAATGTCGTGCAAAAGATTAACGAGAGATGCATATATAACTAAAAAGGTGCAGAGTAAAACGTTTCAGATGATCTTGTTTTGCTTGATATTAGAGGTCGCCCTGAGCCAGTGAGTGAGCAAGAACAGCACACTCTCCCATAAAATAGGGGAAATGGTCAATCAATTGGCTGGCGACGCCTAGGTGCAGGATTCCAGGGTGGGCACTCAGTCGAGTATGCATAGATACTTGCCGGTTGCATATTGCAAGTGGTGTCCGGTATCGAGTGGTTCAACCCAATAATAAACAAACAAAGCCTGTTGATGGTGACAGATGCGCAGGATGCAGGCAAAATATGCAAGAAGGTCCATGTGGTGACCTTAAGAGTAAATTTCCGGCAGCGGAGACCTAAGAGTGGATAATAGGTTAAATAGAGTGCCTGAAAATTGACCTACGGCATTCTGCATAGGCAGGTCTGATGCTGTTTGGTCCTTTGTTGAGACTTAACAACCTTGGGAAGGAGAAAAGGTGTGTAATTACAATACGATATGGAACTGAGTCACGCGCCAAGAGCAGCCTTGGCCAGTCACATGCCAGCAAAGGACGGTGTTAACGCCGGGTTTTGTGTGTTGTATTGGCAAAAATAAATAATACCGCTAGCCCCTTTCTGGCTAAGCAAGCATGGGGCCATTGAGCACAGCAGCACATCAGCATATATAGCATATAATGAAGTGCCTTGCTCACCTCTTTTTGAAATCAGATTCTACTCAACATTAATTTACAATTTGAAATTATTTTTATTTTTAATCATTTTTTTAAATTTATTAATTAATATATTATATATATATATTATATAATATTTTTATAAAAAATTATTTTTATTAAAGTTTATATTTATATTTTTTAATATTTTAATTTTAAATTTTATAAAAAATATTAATAAAATTTTAAGTTTTAATTTATTATATTAAATATAATTTATTTAATTTTAACTTTATATATAATAATAATTATTTAAAATTTTATATTTATATTTATTTTAATATATTTAATTTTAAATTTTTATAAATTTTTTAAATAATTTAATATTATATATTAAATTAAAACTTAATAATATATTAATTAATAAATTTATTATTATTAATTTAAATAATTAAATTTTTATTATTTTTAAAATATAAATTATTTAAGTATTATTTAATTTTTTTAATTTAATATTTATATTTATATTTTATTTTTAATTTAATATATTTATTTATTAATTATAATATATATAATTATATAAAATATATTATTATTATTATTATTATTATTATTATTATTATTATTATTATTATTATTATTATTATTATTATTATTATTATTATTAATATTTATTATTATTAATATTTATTATTAATTTAAATTTTATTAAAATTTATAAAACTTTAAATAATTTAAATATATTAAATAATTATATAATAATAATATAAATATAAATATTAATATATTTTTTATAAATTTAATTTCATTATAAACTTAATTATTTTATAAATAAAATAATTAAATTATATAATATATATATAATATTAAACTTTAAAAATATAAAATATATTTATTCTTTAATAAATTTATAATAAAAAAATATTTCAATTAAAAATTACTTATATTTCTTTAAATCAATAGTTATTTTATTTATATAAAGTGAAATAATATTATATAAAAAGAAAAAAATAGAAAATAAAACTCTAATATTTTTTATATTTATATCATTTAAATACTATAATCTTATAATGAAATATTATAGTTATATATTTTAAGTTATATTATTAATTAAATTTATAAGATTCTTAAATTTTAGTTCAATTAGATAGATATTATAATTTAACTATATATATTTATATCATATAATATTATAGTTTAAATAGTCAATTAAAATTTATATTTACTTATTTTAATATGATATAACTTTATAAATTTTAACTAAATTTGTATAATCTAATAACTTAATTTATAAAGTAATAAAATCTATAAAGATTTAAATATGTTACTATTCAGAAACTTCATAGTATTAGTTTAAAAATAAAAAAGTAAAAGTTTAAATTAAAGTAAAAGAATAAAAACTTTAATGAAAAAGTATAGAGATTGAAGATAAAATATTTTATAAACTAGTTAAAATTTTTTTAATTAATTAAATTATTAAAATTTATAATCATTTGAAGTCACTTTTATAAATTAATTATGAAGTTTATCATTAAATATTAGTTAAATTTAATATATTAAAGAGATATAAATCTTTAGAAATTAAAAAAGTTTACTTATTTTTAATAGGAATTATTATATATGTGTTTAAGTCCTTTTTCTATTTCTGTGAAGTTTCTTGCCTTTTTACTGCATATTGATGGAATTCTCAAACATTGAAGTTGATTAACTAGCAAGATTGAGGGTATTTTTGGCTTGAAATGCCTGCTCAGGGTAGATTACGTTATTGAAGTTATTGAAGCGGGGAAGCCACAGTTATCAGGCAATCAATCGCATGAACATAACCCTGGGCCACATATAACTAGTTACCTAAGGGTCGTTCAGCTCTTCTCCTCTCTAGTGCACTTGCACTGTTTGCATCGGAGTGTGCACCATTCCTAATCACCGTGTTTATCTGCTCAAAATCATTCGCTGGTTTAGAGACGACATCTACAAAAACAGTTTCGAAAAGCGCAATGAAGCAGAGAGAGCGATGTGAAAATTCCATGACATAAACAGAGCAAACATGGAACAACGAGAGGTTAGTTAGTTTACCGAAGCGATTGTCACGTGGGAAACCCTCTTGGAAGAGATGAAATTTACTTCCTAACGCTCCCTAAATGATCCCAGGAATCCAGACCCTCAGGGTGACCTCTAGAAAATGGTCACGGACGGAAAGCAGCGGGTTTGTGACAGAAGAGGCATGTGGGAGCTACCCTGAAGCCGAGAGAGACTATACGAAATGGAGGGGATAAGAAATGATGTGTGACTTTTTCTACATGTAATAATACATGGTTTTTCGGTGGTAGTCTTAAAAATGATAGAGCAGCAAACCACCTTGGCAGCTTGCTAGTTACATACTCTTTGAGTAGTTAACTAGAGCTACTCAACTTAGTTGAACCTATGAAGATGGAGGTAAATATCACATTTTTGCACATCCAATACTGTGGTATGAAAAAGCAAAGACCACATGAATGCTCCCACAAAGGTCAAGTTTATCGAAATGCCGAAATCATCACAGTCATCATGGATGTTCCATGGGTGCTCAATGTTTCGAAGGGACGTGTTGTGTACATCAAGTAAATACCTAAATAGGTAGTTAACCGGGGAGGGCCATCGTTTCATCTCAAAAACAGGGAAGAGAAAGCGGCCCTTAAAAAAGAGTGGTCTCTTTTCAGAGGATGCTTGTATCATCAAACTCAAGATAGTTATTTGTATAAAACTAGATACAAATATATCGGGCTTTCATGCTGGTTCAACTAACACTGGATTGATGATTCCAGAGTTTTCAGAAGCATAATTAGCTATAACTTCCAACGTGCTCCAAGGTTCCAAGGTCTCCATATTTCAATTAGAACTGGTGTCAAATCAACTGCGACAGCTGATTGGCTTATTACCGGGCGCATCTCGGAGAACGCAGACCACCCAGTTCTTCGGTCACATGAATATTCGACCCGCGAAACCTTAACAAGGGTTTTTCCTCTTCGTGACTTCGAGACTTTTTGTGCTAGTTGGTGGTATTGAACTGCTGTCGCTACGATGACGAGTTCATTAGAAGGGTCTTTAACCCAATTTCGATCTCGAATCTCGAAGTTCTTTGGGACGCCCTCTCAACTGGCATCATTAGAGCGTGTGAACCCTTCCTCGGTCGTAGAAGAGCCGGACTATGACCGAATCGGTGGTTTCATCCCATCTCTCCAGGCGATAGCTTTCCATCATAAGCAATACGGATTTTTTAAGTGCGTCGTCCGCAACCGCCACATACGAAGCTAATATAGGATAAGCATCAGAAATATGTAGCACTCAAGGTGCTGGGGGCCGCCATAACAGTCGGCCCTCAGCACATCTTTGAGAGAGGAATTCTCTCAAGAATATCGGAAGCTCCTGGGCAAAGTTCTCATCAAGGCCCCAACCACGTGTCTCAATCTTTCTCGAGCAATTCTAACATTCAGGACCCATGGAGATCATGTTTGCCTATTGTTCAATGTCCTAGGACATCACTTGGATTTCCGAGCCGCCAAGTATGAAAAAATGGAAAATTATTTTGTGAAGGCTGTAAAAGTAATCACACAGCATCTGGGCTTGACTTTCTCCACAGAGAAGTGTGATATATTCATACCGGTATGGCAAATTACAATTTCCAGCCGCCCATTTATAATGCCGACATCTCCTATCTTATTGATAGATTTGAAGCCAACAAAATATAGTTCTAGAGATGGAGAATTCGAACAGAACGATTTCCCAGTGTCTGTCGGAAGTTCCCGGGCGAATAGGCTCTCAACGTGGTGTTACAGCACCACTTCGAGAGGTTATCCCGACAACACTCGTCTCAGAAACACAAAATCTCCACATCAGGATAATTGATTTCGGCGTCGGTAGGCAGACCATTTCAGTTGCATTCGTACATGAAACTTATTATGGTCATAGCATCTTGGAGGGAAAAGCATTTGTCGGATTTACTTCACTCATCCGTTCTGGGGGTTCCTGAAGTAACGATGGGCGCTCCCTGCGATGCTGGTGTGGTTATATGGAGTCTCCTATGCCTTGTAAAATCTTCTTTTTCAATACAACTTCGCATCACAGAGCAGTTCATTCTGGCTATACACTGTAATAGATTATGTAGCTTGTACAAGGAATAGTTCTTTTCTTTACTCCGGAGAAGTATCATCCAGGGGAACGTGGACGGCTGAAGATGACCAACTAGCAAGAATGACTGAGAGATCCTTGGTCAATTTTTACTTAACCTCTTAGAAAATGGGCATCGCGCAACACACTTTTTTGATAAGCAAGGTAAGTTCTATTAATGTCTGCTTTGATAATTGCGTCATCATTTTTATTTAATGTGGCTTCATTCTAGCACATCTCGCCGAATTTATAATACGAAATCCACCACCCTTAAACGCCTGGTAAATGGCAAAACAAACCCTTTCCTAAAAACCTATTAATATGTGCCCGACTCTGAAATCCAATTTTTATTGATTTTTTATTTTAAATGAGTGCTTGAAATCGACCCAGGGCGTCGAAAATCTCACGGCTGACCTGCTGCAACACAATTGGATTCGTCTGTAGAATTTAGCAAAACAGGGCTGTAAATGAATTTGAGAAGACTGTATTGAAGATGAGCAACTCATCGGAATTGCAAGTAGCAAGCGAGGGAACATGAAAGCGGGCGCCTTTTCAATTATAAAAGGATTAAATGTTCGTTTAAATGTTAAGAAAATTGAGCATGTCTTAAGAACTTCACTTTTAAAGAGAAAAGTTAAAACTCTTTTACAAATATTTATATAAGTAGAATGTAAAAAATAACATATAAGATATAAAACAATTCTAATAATGTTATTAAAATAAATATAGAAAAAACAATCACTTTTAAAAATCTAAAGGGAAATAGTATTAGTTGATTAAATGAAATAGAAGTCAATTATCAAATGCTACAGATATTGTTCAAAGCGCACAGCCACATCTGTGAGGTCTACTTACATAATGAGGTCAGGTGGGAACTTAACTTAGTTCATCAATGAGGTGCAGCACAGCCATAGGTCTGCTTGCACTTACTCATTCTGCTCTCTCAGCCTCTTTCACTGCTAGCCTCCCATCCTCAAACCTAACCTCGATCTTATTTTTCTCTCACCTCAACCCTCTCTCGTTTGCGAGGTTGATCCTCTCCCAGAATGCTTATCGTCGCACTTCCTATCCTCCGTTGCCTTCGTTGACACCCTATCTCCCGTTCTCTCTCCCCTTCTCTCTCCTTAATTTTACTCTCTGGTTGTTGAGTCTTCGTCTTCCTCTCCCAGATTCTCCAACATCCTCTCTCCTCCCAACCTGTCAACCACACGCAGCTACGACACAAAGGAACCCCTGATCCCATTGACTGCATACATCCATCGCTCAGTCACCCCCCCCCCTCCCCTTCAGTGGCTGGGTTTGATAGAGGTGCCATATTTTGACGCTTGGGACTGTCGCAGGACCTATCCCTGGCCCATTTTTCCAGTGTGGAGAGAGCAGTCGTTACTCTGCTTGCTACAACTAATTGTTGCTGAGACTGGGCAAATCCAACACACTCTGTAAGCCCCTTATATACATACATACCCATATCCCTTTGGATATTTCGTTCATCATGCATCATGTGACTGTCATGTCGGACTATTACAACGACATCTGGTTTCCCGAATTGTCAATTTCATTATTTGGAGGAGTCATCCGAACTAACCTAAGCAAACCCCCCCAAGCAAGCATTATATGCCAAGCCTCAAATCACGCACGACCTTCAGTCCTGCGACCTTTACCAACCCAACCTAACCTCTCTCCCACCGCCATATTGCCTTCCCACATTCATCCTACCGACTTGCTCCAAGACTTCGATCATCACTGCCATTCGTGATGACCTCTTCGTCGTCAAATGTCGTCGGTGTCCATTACCGCGTGGGCAAAAAAATTGGTGAAGGCTCTTTCGGTGTGATCTTCGAAGGCACCAACCTGTTGAACAGCCAGCAGGTTGCTATTAAGTTTGTATGTAGCTTGGAATTCACTGTACAAGATTTCCATATCTGTATAGATAGATCTGTGCTAATTACTTTGACCTGACCTCAGGAACCCCGGAAAAGCGATGCTCCACAACTTCGCGATGAATATAGAACGTATAAGGTTCTCGTCGGATGCCGTAAGTCGAGTGAATATGACCCTGAATTTCTGAAGCGACTTTGTTATTGATATATTATCGTGATAGCTGGCATCCCCAACGTTTACTACTTTGGCCAGGAGGGCCTTCATAACATCCTTGTAATCGACCTTTTAGGCCCGAGTTTAGAGGATCTCTTCGATCATTGTAATCGAAGATTTACCATCAAGACAGTGGTCATGGTGGCTAAACAGATGGTACGTATCACCTCTCCTGCCATTTAAAATTGTTGTAGTTTGTTAACTGTGTCCGTCCTGTTTAGCTTTCGAGAGTCCAAACGATACATGAAAAGAACCTAATCTATAGAGATATAAAGCCAGACAACTTCCTCATTGGCAGGCCAAACTCCAAGGCTGCAAATGTCATCCACGTGGTGGACTTTGGAATGGCAAAACAATATAGAGACCCCAAGACTAAACAACACATTCCTTACCGGGAGCGCAAGTCACTGTCCGGTACCGCAAGATACATGAGTATCAACACTCATCTTGGACGAGAGCAATCACGACGAGATGATCTTGAAGCGTTGGGCCACGTTTTCATGTACTTTTTAAGAGGAGGTTTGCCATGGCAAGGCCTTAAGGCCGCTACGAACAAACAGAAATACGAAAAGATTGGCGAGAAGAAGCAGACAACCGCAGTGAAGGATTTATGTGAAGGATATCCTGGTATGAAACAGCTCTAATTATATTGATACTTGTTAAGATGCGCTAATAAAAGCCCGAAACAGAGGAATTCAATAAATACTTGACATATGTCCGTAATCTGGGATTCGAGGATACCCCCGACTATGACTACTTGCGCGACCTCTTTACCCAGGCATTGAAGAACACTGGAGAAGTTGAAGACGGCGAGTACGACTGGATGAAGCTAAACGGCGGAAGGGGTTGGGAAGCAGCCAAGCAATATCCCACCCAACACCACCTCCACACGTCGAATGTTCCAAATACCTCAACCCGTGATATTCACGGAGCTTCAGTGCCCCGGGGGCCGCACAGACCAGGGTGTAACAGCTGACCGTTTAAACGCCGCGCAACCCCCGCCCCCTTCTCCCGCGAAGCAGGGAGTTGGGAAAGCGCGAGAGCGGCAAAAACGCCCCCGGCGGGCCGCAAGTCAAACGTCAAAACGGAGCGGCGGGGGTCCTCGAAACAACACCAGCTGCGTCGACTCAGGCTCAATTTCAAAACTCCAACACCCATCTTCCCGGTCGCATAACCACCCCTGGTGGTAATAATCATGCCATGAACGCTCAACCCGCCACGCAACAAATGCGACCGGCGCAAGACCCTGATCCGACGTTCGTACAGAAGATAATGAAAGCTTTGTGCTGTGGTAAGTTTTAACCAAGCTTCGTCCCCTTCTCACATTTGTGCCGCATTCGGGTGTTCTAATTCGTTTCACATAGGCTGAAATTAACCATCTGCAACTCTGGTGCATTTCATTGCTATCCCAGTCAACACTTCAAACTTCAACCTCTGTCCTGCGCACACCTTTCCTTTAATCAACCTAATTCTTTCTATTTCCAGTCGGTAGAGCCATTGGAATGAATGGCATCGGTATTTGGGCTTCCTGTATCTAATATACAGCTTTTCTCTCGGCTCTTGCTGGATCGACTAATTGCATAGCTAAAACGTCCACTTACGAAAATGGGCTCACGGTGGAGTTTTCCTTTTTCATTTCGTTCATAATATTTCCCTTTTTCCCTTTCCCACACTTCACGATCTTCACATTTCTTTTCCTCCTTTTCTCTTTTTTCCCTTTTCACCTTATCAAGCGAAGATAGGAGTTGGTCAAATATATATTTTTTTTCTTTCCTCGTTGAGAAAATAATTTCCTCCAAGTCTGTTAGTTTCACACTCTCACTTCTGTCCCACATGTTCTCCTTTGTGTCTGTGTGTTATACGTACGGCTTCCTCAACTCGTCCCATCTCATCCCCAACATGAAAAATGTTCCACTTAAAAAAAGTGAACGTGAACGCGAAATCCTTCTGTCTCATTGAGAAATCCGCAGAATTAACGCGGGCCGCATTTTTATTTTCTCTGTTTAATATTAGACTTCTATTTCCATTTTGTCTCTTTTACTGCTCTCTTTTCCGCCCCCTCCATCGTACTCAGCCTATTTTCCTTCTTGAAGGCGTTTTCTTTAATCATGCAGTCCACACGCAGCAGTTTCCTGTCGAAACCGTAACTGCTTCTGATCATTACGGCGTATCCATGTCGCAGATTTCATTGCACATCAGTCCCAGCGAAGCGTATATGGGTGCAGTCATAGCAAGCTGCGACTTGTTCGATATCATATTTTGACGGGGTTTGTTAATTCAACCCTAGCGTCGCTTTGGGTTGGATTGGGGAGTATTCAAAACTACCTTCCCCCCCTCAATCTGGAACATGATAACTCCAATGCCGCAATTGGCATTTCGCGGGCTTCATTGAATACACGAGGAAGTGTCCCATGATGGCAGCAGCGGATGAGATGAGCAAACCCTACATTTTTGCGTCTCTTTTATTTCCTTTTCTTCTCCATTCCTTATCTCCTTGTTGCGAACTCCCATCTCCCTCCCCTTTTTCTCCTTGTTATAATTGTCCCGAACTGTTTTAGTTTCCTGTTGTTTCCTTCCGCCTTGCTCTCCGGGCTGTATTGATTTCATTGCCTGTAGTTCCCTGCTTTTCTTTGCTGTCAACTGTCATGTTTCTTCGCGTGGTTATATTTTATAGGGTCTTTCCTGCTGTGTCCAGAACCTTTTGTTTTTGTTCTTGTTTTTTTGTAGAGGATGCACGCACAGAGCTGGATACATCGGATATTATTAAATACATAAGGACCTTGTGCAAAATAGGATAATTAATCATATTGGTTTATTGAATGAAAGTTATGGTTTGAAACGTCTACAGAGGAAGTGTGTAAATGTTTGTTTGAAACAGGATTATGGAGTGTGCCCTTGACTTCCGGAGTTCAAGTGTGATTTTAATTTCAACATGGTGTGCATTTGAAAAACTTAAAATTTTTGTTGTTTCATTAACTAACCCTAGTTAACCCTGACCCCAAACAACCCTTAAAGCGCCTAAACAAGCATAGTGATTCTATTTGTATTTCTCTCATCTTCTGGTATACAGTTCTCTTTTGGTAAGCCGAACAATCCTCAAATTATGAAGACCAGTTGGATTAATAATTTAATAGTAGTTGTTGCGGGACGCACATGGAGCCACAGCCAAAATCCTCTCACTGCGAACAACACTCTTAAGGCGCCTAAGAACCTCAGCTGGACTGTAAGCACTGGAATAATTGGGGCCATGCCATCGTGTTCAACTAGCCTTGCGAAGGATTCAGAGGCCCCCAACCAATCAAGCAAGCAAAGATTGGGTCGTCACAGCCTGACTGATAAGGGAGCTGTTTTCGCTCCCAGCCCAGCCCCTTGTTTTTGCATGCTTGGACCGCCTGTTAGTTTCTAACTTGGGGACATAGATCCGCTCCTTTTTCTTGCCAAACTTGAGATGGAGGGGGCCAGAGTGTGAATTTGGGTCTTGACTTAAAAGGAGGGTCATCAGATTGCACGGGAGTGTGTCTGTCGAGTTGTCAATTGCTTTCTCACCCTGATATCAAACCTCAGCCCCTTTTCGGCATTGAGCTACGTCAATGTCTTCAACGGCAACAACGCAACGCTCTGGCTCCCCTAGAGAGACTTCCAGTTCCCCTATGCAGTACCATCCTGTACCATCATCTCAGAACGATGGCTCGTCTTCCTCTGTGGCCATTATCTCCTCCGAACCCAAGTCCGATAGCCCAGCAGGACCAGGACAGCCAGATGAATCTCCACAAGGATACCCGCTCAGGAGATTCTATCTGAGGTCTGTGTTATTGGTGCTCGTGCCACCAGCGATCACTGCTTACTTTTGCGTGATTGAATGGGCTGTTATAACGAGAAATGCAGAGTCAAATCAATATGGTCACCGCACTGCTCTATGGGTTTACTACTCGTGGTTCATTATTGGTGTCTTCGGCTTGGGTATCTCCAAATTTGGACTCGCTGGCGTAGAGGCAGTTATGCTTCAGGACCGCCATTGGCAGGTCAATGATGCTATGGTTCTTCTAATGCATAGTGGACAGTCTTGGTCTGGCTTCTCGGGATGGACGGAGTGTTTGCAAATGTCAATTACGCAGAAGAGAAGTGTGCCGCAACGGTTATGGTACTTGCTTGCCTTCATAAGTTTGATGATAACAATTGCACTGCCGATTTCTGGTCTTAGCATGGAACTGTTTGATGGATTTGTTCATACAAACGAACGTGCAACAGTAATCGGACATACTAAGGATAGCTTCAATGAGAGAAATCCAGATCAAGTATCCAGGCGTGGTCGTCTCATGTTGCAAGCAAGTACCCCTCCTGTAATCCCAGGTGCAGGAGTAGTCTACACACCACAATACCTGGATCGCAGCCAATACGGCTATCTGGAGTCTTTTCCAAACTCTCTTCCACTTGATGAACAGGCTCCGGAGCTTTTTCTCGCACCGCAGGGTGAATACCCAGTTGCTGGAAGTACATGGGGACTCCGGTTGGGATACAACTGTTCTGTGGTCACGTCTGAATCCGAATTCACGGTCGTGGGACGTAAGCCCGAGTTAAATTCAGAGGGGAAAGTACTTTCATATACCCTGGGGCTAAGTTCACAAACCTTCAACCTGCTTGCGTACATGGAAGTCGGCGTAAGAAAGGTCACATCCTATGCAACCGACCAGGGTCAAAAGGAGAGATTCTCCCACGACGAAAAGCTCAACGATGTCGATATCTTCGAATACGCTATGTGGCAGATTCGTACGAAGGCTACTTACGAAAACGAACGTCCAGTCAATTTTAATAATACAATCGCTTCGCCCATTTCCGGCCTGGGAGGTCCACTGATCAAATCGGACAACGGCTCCTATCAAGTCAACACTACCTTCTTCGAAGAAGGCCAAGATCGATTGTTTAACCAAAGGAGGTATTTCAACCTAACAACAGATCAGTTGCTCGATATCATCGAACCTGCTCCCCCCATCGGGGTCCGCTGCCGCTTTGTTTCCCAACCAGGCGTCGCCACGCTTGACCCATACCATTCGACATTCCACTCCTTCATCCACACACTCCCCAAACCTCTCGATCACAAAGGATCCGAATACCATGCTGACCCCTTCGGGAGTACCATTTCTGATATGCTCTTTACCGCCACCTACGGCGCCGCCTCAGTGAAATACGAAGCATACGAGCAGCTATTCCAATCCACAAACTCGCCCCCACCGGAAGCATATTCCAACGCCTCCCGCTACCTAGGCTTCCTCCAGCCGCACATAGTACTCCAGGCGATCATGCGCGCATTTGGTACGGAAGCTCTACAGCTGATGTATGATGGCATTCAGGGGTTTGAGCAGGCGTACGAACATGAGAGTCTAACCGCTTCGAAGCCCGGAAAGATTCTTGGACCTGGCTCCGTGCCGGGTGTTTTCTCCATTGTGCTTTTCTATATTTGGTCAATTAGCTGTGTTGTGCTTGGTGTCGTATATGGCTTCAGGCGCCGTTGGGCAGAAACATTGGATGGATATAGTTTCTTCCGGTTTGGGGCGGACCGGGTGGAAGATATTAAAGGACGGCCGGACCTCGTTGGCTGTAATAAGGAGTTGGATCAAAGTGAGGGGTTGAGGGAGATCCCTGGGTTGATCGGCGATATGCGCGTGGGACAGCCGATTGGACATATTGGATTAGTGGCAAGGAAGAATGTGGCAGACAGAAGTAAACTGTATATGTGATCGTTAAATTCTCTCTTTTTTTTTTTGGTTTTTTTGGGGGGGGGGGGGGAAATGGAAGGATTGGGGTATTACTAACCGTTAATGATTAATTATCATTAATTATCATCTATTTTGCTAATCAAAGACAAGGACGAGCTTTGTGCCTTTGAAACCATGCGAGTATAAATTCTCAATGGCATGCCGTTGACGTTACTTAGTAACAAATCACGGCTTTTTCACGGAACAATTCAACAGGGGCGGAGTGGAGAGTGTCTCGGAAGAATGAACACTTTTAGTATTCATAATTACTACTACCTACTTAGACGGACACATCCATATGAAAAGCACTTTTACCCCATTCCCTTTCCTTGGCTGTACTTTTTTTTTGCAATCCAACCCAGTCATATACACATATATTTCTTAAATTATTGTTACCACGCCTCCCCGACGCTGATATCAACAAACCCAATGGGTCCACTCAGGCTGACTGACGGTATTCCCACCGAATAGTTCGTGTTCGTGTTCGAGGCATACAGATAATTGCTGCCGCTGTAGGGACATGACCAATTTATTGTGCAAATTTTGTCATAATTGGTTTCATCATACAGCTCGAAGGACCCTTGGGTGCCAACCGCCGTATCTTCTCTGCCGCAGCTGTACACATTGTTTGAGCCCCCATCCTCTGCGACCACAATTTCATCCACTTGTTCAGCACTGATCTCGTTGTCCTTGTCGTCGTTTGTGTAAAATTTGCCGCTGTACAAAGGTGGCGTCAGGTTATTTAGCTTGGTCAATTCAATCTCAACCACAGCCATTCCCCTCTCTCTCCTATCTTTCGCCAACGGCTTCAGGGTTTATATGTATGTTTGGGAGGTGAATGGCATGATGTTGCCTACCTATCTAACTGGGCATTTTGAACAACGATGGACCCATCAAGCGTATTTGTAAGATGCATGTCAATCCAGTCCCCGTAACCCATGGTGGCAGGATATGAAAAGGATACTAAATAAAAGCAGTTCTTGGTTGTGTACGTCGGTGGTTCGTGAAGCGGGCTGTTAGAATCATCAAAGCTTGTGGATGACCCGTATGATATGAGAAATAATCCGATGTCATCGAGCCATTTTTACACTGGACTTTTGAAAGAATACACATTTTTGCAACCATGGACAGCGTACAACAAGGAGATGTCATAATCGCGTCAGTGAACAACTCAATCCAACGAACTTACCAGAACAATATGCTTCAGAGCTTCCGCTAGTTGGACTAAATACCTACTTTTTGAGAGGAAGCCCTGGAGACCTACGGCCTTGGACAATATATCCACCCTGAGCTTAAAAAATTTACCTTTTCACATTGTATTCGTCATTGAGAACCATGCCTGAAGTTTCTGACGAGTCAATCTCCTAAATTGTGGAGTTTCTCAGAATGTCGGTGTTGAACACGCTTTGATGCGATGCGAGAACAACCCCTTCGCTGACCACTGGTCAACTGTGCTTGTTAGGTGTTAAATATGCATCATTGCGATGTGGCAGTGTGCGCATTCCACTTTTCGATTTTTTTACGCTGTTCGAAGATAACCTGATGAGAGAAACAATTTGTCAGAAGTTACATGAGGAATTGAACCTTCTATGTCATCCCTATCCGGCTGTCGTGCCATCAGTCCCCTTCATTCACAGCGAACAGTTATACGGATATATACACTGAAGGTAAGCTGCGTGACGATTGCATGGTCTCTACAATCCCTCAGACACTGACCTGTCTGAATAGATCGAGAGTTCTCTGTATGCAGCTCAGTTCCGTCTGTCAGGTCAATTAGGGCCTCAAGATAGTAACCAGTGCCCTGTACCATTAATTGCTGAGGTCAGAAGGATATCATGATATTGGTGAAGAGGAATCCTTTGGTACGAATTTGAAAAACCAGCAGTTCGAGCGACTCACTCTCCACTCATATGCTCTGGGGGTTAATTTTGAAATAGATACATGAATTTTCGATGTGGTGGTATTCACAATAAAATCTTCGAAGTCAACCTGGATCAGTAGGATTCCACCAATAAGCACCCCTGGTGAGCGGTGATTGCGCGGTCTGCAAAAGAGATACGACTTCCTCAATCAGACCACAGCAGCAGGTAGAACTGTGCTCTCAGACAGCAACAAATACCTGTCGAGAGTGAGTCAAAACCAGAGACGACCAATCGTTTCACCAAAAGGTGTATCAAAATTGCACTCTGACGTGTTCCTTCCGGGCTTACTGGGTCCATTCTCTGCCTTGTTACACTGATATTCTAATCTCCCGGTGTAATGTCGTCGCAGGTCTCTCAACCGCCTGGAGAGAAAGGATGACAGCCGATAATATTTGTTGCTTTCATTCTAACCCACGGGATTGCTTGTGGTATTTTAGAAGATCTGTTAGCCAGCTGTGATGGGAACAGACAGAGAGTCGACAATAAGGTTCGGTAATATTGTCATCCAACAAGGAGACGTCAGAATCTTGCGAGGAACGTTCGACAAAATGTCCCTGCTTCATTTTAGAGGGGGGATGAGAAGAAGCTTTAATCAAAGCTTAAAGTTCTCAAATTCATGGGCCGAGAGAGGGTCATGGGGATGATTTCCAATGGATTTCCGGGATGGATGGATTCACTGGACAATTGAGCAAAACCAATTGACAAGGTTGCTATATAATGACAAATGAACACAGAATAACAATCCGAGAAAGGGTCGAAGCTTCGCTCTACAAAACGGGCATTCCTTCTCTGATTTCGATCGCTATTGCTTCTCCGCGGCACTGTCCCTCGACAATACACTGCGTGCACCTCGGAAGACTTGTATTACGATACCTTTACTACCCCTACTGTGCAAAGATTGAACTTCAAATTGTGACATATATCCAATGTGGATTTCTTTTACGAGGCAAATGATCAGCGTTGCCAAGTTTGATTCTAACTGAGAATGCGGCTAGTACGGGTATTTCTTTACTTGATTCCTCTTGAGGTTCCGCCTTTCTTGCCTACCGCCCAAGAAAACCCACGTTCAGGGAGAGGAATTTGGGCAGTATGCAGAGTACGTGTATCATAAGTGCACTCAGACACATGCGTGGCAAACGATAGGTTGTCACCTGGAAAATGATGCTTCAAAGATAAGAAGTCGGAACAGAACATCGCAGTCATTCGACAGAGGCACATTCAAGGAGAATAAATGTGCAACAGTAGAACATCTTACCCTAGCAACTATCATCGCTCACTCCCAGATGGCCATACAGGAGGCAAAATTCGCCTATTCGCCTCCTGATTCATGTCCATGCCTTCATCTTTGAATAGTGACTGGAAATACGGCGCTTGTTTATCACCATGCTAGGAAAAATGTTAATATTTGTGACGTTTGCCCGACCCCCCCTGACATCTAAGGCGTATCCTTTCTTCTGAGACTCTCGGCCGAAGTTCTGCCATACCTACCTTTTAATAATGAGTTCATAGTCGTTTTGTTCTCCCTCCGGAGCCTAGCCATCTTCGTGGGAATTCGGATTTCTCCGTTAGGCGTGGCGGATAAATTTAGAGAGAATCGTTATCTTGTAAAATAGATTGCAAAGGGATACGCTGGATACGGGCATGTTGTTATATCTGTGTGTATACATGTCCTGTACATACACCATACATATATCAATAAACATTTAACATAAAAAGGGCGGCAACGGACGGCCTGGCGGTCACCGGGGGTATGCATGACTTTGCATACAAGATCAAGATCAAACCAAAAGGAGAAGAAAAGGCTAAATTTTAGGATGCCTGCAAATTTCAGCTTCAGTAATAAATAATAACAATAAATATCTTGATTAAAATATCTCAAATCCTTCCATTCCGGTTCTTAGTGTGTTCCATCGAAGTGGATTACTTGCGCCACTGATAAAATTCCTTCTAGAAGAGTTCTGGAAGGTCTTGACCTGAAATGAAGCGTGGCATGTTTTCTTGCTTGTCCAGGGAGGCATCCATGTATCTATCATATTGGAGGTTGACTTTACTGGTGACATGGATATGGCCTTGTTTGGAATTGTCATCAGCAGCCCATAGTTGGTGTAAAATGTCTTTTTGCTTTTCAAGTGGCTGGGTTCAGGGTAGCTATTAACATCGGTTATACTTTCATCTTGGGTGGAGGGAGGAACCTTGTATTCGCAGGACAGATGGATGTATTATGTAGAATCCTTCTGGAATGAGGACCGGGAATTGATGCATGTTATGTTGCCCGTGTATTTTGCTGTCCACTCCTCATACATACATATACATCATCTTCGTCTTAGGGTTTGAACATTCCACATGCCCTGGAGACTGTTCGAGACTGTTCTTCACCTGGACACTTTTTCCATTAGTTATTCATTCCGTACTTTCCTCTCGTTGTATGGGGGTTTTGTTGTTGGAACTACGGAACGCAACAAGAAGAGGAACTCCTAGCCATGACAAATAAACAGTATCCTATTGGTAATCTATGACAGCGCTGATGAAAATATTGCCTGCATGAAGAAAGATAACTGGTGCTCACCACCAAAAGTCAAAAAAGTCTGACCATGTTTGAGCTTCCAGTTCCCTCAAGAGGCCCAACTGTGAGACTCCATTTTCTTAATTTTTGAATTTCGTATATGTTTCATCTTTGGCGACGGACGACGGGTATTTGCCTGAAGATAATGTTTGAAGGGGGGTCACAGCTTATATCACCTCTGTCTAGGTTTTTTTGCCTGTCATGGCTTGCATGCATATGCAGAATAGGGTTTTCAATTGAAAGTGCCCAAGAAAAAGAAAGAGATGAGAAGAGATGGAAAAAAAAAAAAAAAAAACCTAATGGAAGAAATGAATATGTAGTGACATTGGGGGGTGCACGAAATGTAAAACATCAAGGCATCTCCGCATATTTGTAATATTTGGTCTCATTCAAGAATACCTTGCGATACCTCAGTATCCGTATATCCAGCATTATTCTGACTAATAAATAGCTCCAGCCCCCGAGCATCGTCGGCCTCTCGCGTTTGAGACGAGAATTGGAAGAAAAATGTGAGCTGCATAGGCGAAGGGCTCGCTCTCATCTATTTGCCGAAGATGTTTTCGCAAACGGAAGAAGCGAGATTAGGGTCCTCGCCGACAATGTCAGACAAACCCGTTCTGGCCCAATCTTGTCCGTTTCCATTATCTATCTGATAACCTGCCACGAGCATATACATACGGCTTTGAATGCTGGGTGTATCCTTGGTTTCATGGTTTGTTCAGGAACGGGATATTTGGCATAAACCACTCGACTCGAACCAAATTCTTGGCCAGGGAAATGACGTGACATCCTGGAGGCGTTTTATTGGCCATGCGGTATTCATCACGTGGCCATCGTCTTTGTGCGCTTCCCAGGATCGAGTTTCAGCGCTAACCACAACAGGGAAAGTATTTATTTTTCGCCGCCGCTGGCGTCATTTACTTGCTTTTTGCTGGACGAACCCGTCGACGAGACGCGGGCGTGCGTTGATCCATTTTTGATGCGACGACAATGGCAGTATTCATCTTCCGATTCTCGCCATTCACTGCTGTGCAACAGTGGTACTGACGTCAAACACACACACACACACACACACACACACACCCGGGTTTCTTGGTACATGGTTTGTGGAGGTGGCTGGTGCATATATCCATGCCAACTCACCCGCAAACAGGCCCTCGAACTGACTGCCTTGAAGGTTTCATGGTTAAAACACTCCAAGGCTGATTGTTGGCCAATAGCAGTGGGACGATCGTCCTGGAAATACTTTTCGCTGAGGTTCATTTTTCATGCTTGAAGAGAACCAGGCGGCAAGGAAAGGGAAGTTATCCTATTGCTGCTCCAGCCCGCTTCCACCCCATGACCATAAAATAAAGTTGCAAATACCGGCCTGAAAACCATTCTTCCTTTTTATTTATTTATTTATATTTTTTGGATTTCCGTTTCTAGCCATGAAGAAAAGTCGCGGGAGTCTTCGAGAAAGATTAATATCTTCTTGAAGTTGTTCCGGGTGATATGCACCACTTGGGAGTTTTGGAGATTGCAATTATTATTCGCAAATAGCGGTTATCAGTAAATTGACTCCAGTTTCTTTAATTTTATTTATTTATTTATTTTTTTTTCGAGCCAGAGGCGTAATGGTTAGTGCCAGAGGATTTCCTGGTCATGGCAATTTCTCACACGATCCTGTCGAACCATTTTTGTTTGGTAGTGGTGTCTTGGTGCCTCATGCTGTGGGCTATCAGAAGACGCGGCGAGCAGCGGTCAGGAACAGCATCTTCCCACATCTTGATATTATCCTATGTCATTGCTATGTATCTGTGAAGTAAACAATGCAAAGTCCTTGCGCCGTTCGGGATGAAATTCGTCCGGGCCGTGAATTATATTCCCGACGCGGCTGCTTTTGATCCTCTGTGGCTGGCCCTCCTGCCGCGCCGCGCAAACAACCACACCAACATACGGCATTTGTGAAAATGACGATGAGTTTGGAGTAATTAGAGAACTCCAAGATTAACTCTCCACATTCGGGAAACAGGGCAACGCAACAGTGTTTCAAATAGCCTTTTTTTTTTTTATTTAATATGGCGTTCGTTTGCCGGAACCATGTGGAATACCCTTTTGTGGACACACGTGTGGTCGATCCATCCATGCATGTCTTTCTTCGGGAGCCACCTCGTTGCCAGCTTGCCAATTGTCTGCCTGAGAAACAGAACCTGGGTTGATGTCGGGGGTGAGCAAGTTGTGGGGTTGCGCGCCGGAACCATTATTATTCACCGCCAATCAGTTCCGGCACCACGGTGGGGATCAACATCAACGCCCGTAAACGGCCGTAAACGGCCAACTGGAAGGTGCTAGAGAGCGCCGGAGACCGGGGAGATGTCCAGGCCAGTGACCAAATCCGGCTTCGAGGGGTGATAGGAAGATTCACAATATGACCAATAATGTATTACGGAGTCGTCCGATGGGAGGACTTGGGGGGAAGAACTTGTGTTTTGAATATGACGAGCAAATGGGCAAGTAAATTCTGGTTAGCTGCCTTGCGGAGTCAGAGAAAAGTCTGTTTGGTTTTAGGTATTTTTTCCGTGATGAAACTAATTTTTAGAGCTTGCTGCTTTGCTTGGCTCTGCTTCTACTGAGGCTAGTTTTAAGCGTAATTTTTAGTTTCTCGAACAAGAGCGAAAGTACGGACGGATTCATGGAAGAATCCTTGAGGGCCTTACGGTCTGACATACCTCCGGAAGTATAAATAATAGCAACTATCGATAGCCTTGACTGTGCACTCATGAAACCCTCTTCCCTTGACACAATACAAAAAAAGGGGAACGCTCACGTACGTAATATCGTCGGCTCCTAATGCGGAATGCATATCCGACCCGTGGAGATATTTTTGTGATAGTCACTTGACGACGCGTAGGTAAGGGACAGGGTGGCGCTGGCGGATTTTATTACCCTTTTGCATGTTTGTTGGTTGTTGGGGGGGGTGGGGGAATGGGGAGGGGGGGGGAAATGGGGGGGTTGTGTGGTGTGTGTGGTGGGTTGCTGTTCCGTATGGTAAAGCATCTGTGGTGGTATTACAGTTACAAGGGTACAAGGGCACAGACACTCAAGAAAAGAACAGCCAGAGAAGCTGGACAGAATGAAAATGGAAGCAGTTTAAGGTGGGGCGCCCAGGGCCCCACCTGGTTGCAGATGTGCTTGAACTAATTGTGGATCTTTGTACTTATTGTTGTTACTAAGGCTTCGAACCTGTAGGTTATTTTGGAATTTCTTTTTTCTTTTCTTTTTTCTTTTCCCTTCTTTTTCTTTTTCTTTGGTATTTGTGTCTGGTTGTCCGGCCATTTCGTTCAGTGATGATCTTTCACATTGGGCACGACACATTGCAGAAATGAGATCATTTTGTCCAAAGTATCAATTTATGTATGTGGAATCCATGTTGGCTACTTTGCTCCAACCTGGCAGCTTGCAGGAATGTTCCTAATTTTGCTCGTTATTTACATATGAGTATGTTTGTTCCCATCAGTGTGTCTGTTTTCATTTTCAGCCCAACAACATAACCCGGCCTATGGAATGACTTAATTGTTACCTGCTAGGGATTTTTGTGTTGCTGTGATTCGCTCTTTGAGCTTCCATTTTTGAAGTCACTTCGGAGTACCTTGTAGTTAAAAACTATAATAGTAACCTAAGGTTCTTTTAGCCGTGTGATTTGCCTTATAGGGAGGATTTGTTCTGGAATTCCGGCTTTTTCGCCACACGGAACATCTGAGCAACAGGCCTTCGCCGGGGGGGGGGGGGGGGGGGGGGGGAGCGCACTTCCACCCCTGTCAGCTTTTGTCGTTGGATAACGACTGGGGGTTCAGGCCTGCATGGAATTTTCCAGTTGTTTCAATAGGGAACTTATAATTATCAGTTATCCATGGACTGAAAGGTTGTTTGCCTGGAGGCCTGTAAGGGGACTGACATTATTGGGCTCCACGGGCTGGCTACCAGATCAACCATATTAATACTCGGTTCAAACAGCCTAACCAGATCTGCGACTGACTGTACCATACATACGCTGGCAGTGGGTATGACAATCCCGTAATATTCTAGAACAAATTCATTACCATGACCCCTGTAATACCAGGTATAGGTTTCTAAACCAGCAGAGTCAACCACCCAACCCAGTCATACCAACCCAGGGTAGGCTGAAGATAACCATGGCAGCCCACGGTAGCCCACGGTAGCCCACGGTAGCCCAGCCAGTCCAGCCAGTTCGGGGCTCTCCAGGCATGGTTCTCCCGCCAATCGATGATGAGTGGGCGCTGTGGGAGCCTTTACGCGCTCTCTGATCCTACAACCTGCAACCTGCAACCTCCAACCTCCAAACCTCCAAACCTCCAACCCTACCTCCTACCTACCGCCTACCACCTATCTACCACCTACTACCTAACCACATCTCTTCCTCTCTTCCTCTCTTCCTCTCTTCCTATCTTCCTATCTTACTCTCTTCCTCTTTCTCCTTCTCTTCCCTCCGTGACCCGTTATATGCCCCCTCCTACCTCATTCTTTCTTCTCAATTTCTGACTGTCTTATCTTAATCGTCGTCATCGCCGTCGTCGCCGTCGTCGCCGTCGTCGCCGTCGTGACCTCACCTTCTTCACCTCTATAAAATCCTGCTACTCCATCGTTGGAATCGCTGTGGATATTCCTAAATCCCCACCTAATTTCCCTATCCTTGACGTAGAACACAACCCCACTAACAACCCGTCTTTATTATATTCATCATATCATTTCTGCCCTTCACGACAATAATTTGCCTCCTGTCGTTCAGCCTGGAAATATTTATGCTTTTGGTCGCGCAACCTGTTGCGTTCTTGGGCGGTCCGTTGGTTAACTGTAACTAACCGACCTTTTTAAGTCACATTACTGCTGAGACGTCCGACGGAAGTAATTATCTAGAGTGTGTGGGCGGGAATTCCAGACACTTAAAAAAACCTGTACTTTTATATTGCAAAGACGAGTGATTTGTTTCGAACTAAAGCGCATTTTTGCGGTCTTCACTCCGAGACATACATATACTCTGTTTTTGACATTTCCCTGAGCTCCACAGTCCGTCCTCTCACCCTTGGGATTTTGTCGTGCAGCCTTACTTTTAGCCTGAATCGAGGTTCCCATTCCCGTCTACCACCCTGAAGTCTCTGATACTACTGAGCAAGCAATCTATATACGCGAGGGTTGTGGCGACTTTTAAAAGGCGGTTGTCGGGCGGCGGTCGAAGAGGGACGAACCGAATCCCTAGAATAAAACATCTATAAAAAAAGGAAGAAATCTCTTGAAGAGGAAAGGCCAGGATCCAAGTTCCCTGGGATTAAGAGACAGAGGGGGGGTCGGTCGTCCTCTGGGCGCAATGATTGCGGGTACATCCCGATTTACTTCACTGTTGTCCTGGAATTTCACACCCGATTCTACACCTCGACAATACCCTGAGCCCTCGGACTGTGATCAGACGAGGAGCACGCTATGGAAGGTTGGCAGCCCTCTTCGAGGCCTCTCAGTCTAGCTATCCCGAATTTCGCTCCTCGACCCACGCTCGATGATGTGCTGTCCAACACATCATCACCACCTTACACACTGTCAGCATTCATGGCCTTCCTTTCTCAAAACCACTGTCTAGAGACCCTCGAATTTACTATGGAGGCAAATAGATATCGGGATAGCTATTACGCCGATCCAACCAAAACACAACATCTGTGCATGCTCTTTCAGAGGATATTGAAGGCGTACATCGTCCCGGCAGCACCCCGTGAGATCAATGTATCAAGCGAAGTCCGCGACGATCTCTTAAGCCATTCAAACTCACCGACTCCGCCTCCACCGGAAACATTACACCCCGCTGTCAACAGAATGCGAGATCTAATGGAAGAATCAATATTCATTCCATTCCTCAACAGCCAAAGCCCGCCCTCATTGCCCGATTCACATTACGACGAAATGACAGCTCAAGATGATAGCCAAATGGGACTCCACGCCTCCATGCGCCGGCAGCTATCCCCACAGCCATCTTGTTTGTCACCACGTTCACCAGCAACAGGGCTTGCTCTACAGCAGCTCAAAATAACAGGAGGGATAGGCCGGTCCGGATCTCGAAGTTCGGGCTATGCCCTCTCCCCACTGAGCGGCGACTCAGGCTCCGCCAATCTCACGGACGATTCTGGAAGTATGACTTCCAGTCTTGGTGCCGGTGAGCCAATGACACCACCCACGACGCCACCATCAAGTGATGTACCCTTACATTTTGGTCCCTCAGGCCACAATCCCAAATTCAGACCGGCAGATAACGCTTGGAAGAAGATGGGCTTGAAGCTCGGTTGGAAGAAGAGGGCTGGAGGACCTGGTTCGAAAGATGGGCGGTTTCCTGCCACGGAAGAGGAATGATGCTTAGGGGTCTTTTTGGCCCCATTCCCATATTGATTGATATAAATCCCCCCCCCTTTTTTAATTTTTTTTAATTTTTTTTTTTTTTCAATTTTTGCAGTGTAGCGTTGTTACCAGGTGAGCGTGTATATGAAGCGTCTCAACCATGATCTCCCTCGCCGCAACTACCACACCCCACAACCCCACAACCCCACTGTTCTTCTTTCTTTTCATTTTCTTGTTTTTTCTCACTTAGTTGCATGCTCTTGACAATGCTTTCTCTTCTCCTCTCTCTTTGGTCTAGCCTCTTTAATTTTTGTTTTGCATGTATCGGACGGTTTAGCATGCATTTCTGTTAATATCTGGTGGATTGCATTTTTTTTTTATGCCTGTTGTGCTAGTATGTTTTGTTGATTTGGTTGTTAGGGCATGTATACCCATTACGTGCGTGTTCCCATTAGCATGCGACAGTTTATTTTGTTTCCCCTCTTGCCCCCCCAAAAGGATCTGCCTCTCAATTCTTCTCTCTCTATCCTTGTTTCTTTTCTTTTAGGTGGGTTTTGTCTAATTGCTTTGTCCACCGTTGGACTTTACGAAATGTTTGGATGTTTTTTATTGTTGTCTGCTTGTGGCATCTGGGCATGCCAGTGCTCATGAGATTTAGAATAGATGATTATTTCCCACATACCCTTCCCCACAATATTTCACTTTAATTTATCATGATCACCCTCCTGAGCTTATCAGTATTGCAGCTATTTTCCACCTGTATTTTATCATGAACTACCGGCCATTTTCCTAGGGGGCATTAACTACTACGGTAGTTACGCTTACCACGAAAAACTTGAAGAAAGCTCAGTGTCTCTACATTTCTTTTCTGTCTTGCCGTCTCATCTGACAAAAGTCAAAGAACTGAAAAAGCTCAAGGAGAATAAGAATGTAATTTATTATTCATTTTTAAAGCAATTTGCTATACTTTTACTTTCTTTGTCCTTTCCGCCCCCTCCCTGAATTGTATTTAAATAAGTATTAAAACGTGGTGGCTGAAAGTTAGGGGAAGACGCTTCAGCCTCCTTTCCGCCGTTCCGCCCCTTTCTACTCCTTTTTCTTCTTCACCAGCCCCACGCAAACGTCGATTCTTCCAAGGTTTGGTTAACTGGTCTTTGCAAGACCGCAAAAAGCATAGGAGGGAACCAGGGGAAAAACTGGGTATAATTTTGCAAGAAAGCGGGGGGGTTATCAGTGCAACGTAGGGAATAGTCGGGTACCCACAAACGTTCCCTATCTCCCTATATATAACTAACTCTAGCCTATTCTCCCCCCCATCTTATCTCCCTTCACTTCCATATCTCCATCTATTTTTCCCCCAATGGCCTATAAAACTCAATTAAGCCCCCAATACACATCGCCAATCAGCCCAACCTCAGGTATGTGGCGTATCAGATATAACCTTCCTTCTCGTAAGCTATAAATAATAAAAGACTTTTTTTTTGGCTTTCTTTAGCTTGGTTGGTTCTTCCCCTCAAACTAACCCCACCGCTACCCGCTTTGAGTTCTGCTGCCGCTGTACGGTAGTTACGTGTTATCTACAGTACATGTATTTTACGTCAAGCTCACAACTTTCTCCCGGGGCAACTGGCTGCATGCGTAACAGGAATGTTGGGCATAGCCCTGCTGGCCCCTGTTGCGAGGATACGAAGACGACGTCCCTTGACACGTTTTGTGTGCCATGTTTGTCAGTGGGTTTGGCGGGAAAAGGGCAGGCATTCTTAGTAAGTGCTATCTATCTATCAGCATCTGCTACGTAGTTACATGCAAAAATCGCCCCACTCGAATAGGCCAAATAGAGAGCGGGAGGGGTTCATGTCTTCTTCACAAACTGGAGACCGATTTTCGATGTATTTCAAAAGCCCCCCACCCACAGGCTATTCTCGAACGGGGCCCCATGGAAGCAACAACGAGAGCCAAGGGAAACGAGATGAGCAGTAAACACATCAATCCCCAGGCGGAGCTTGAAACATTTGAAACGGTAGCACATTGAAGCCCGGTTTTTGTTTGGTGGGTGAGGGGTTTTTGGGGAAAATCATTTCTACTTGACTCTTTGAGTGCCGTTTATATGGAGTCTTCACTTAGATCAGTTGCATGTGATTCATTATAGTGATTGGAGTTGGCCGTTTCAATGCTCTTATCATCTAAGTTAGGATGTTATAAGAAAGGTGATTCCCCAGAAAAGCTCACTACAGAAGAACCATGCGGCATGCCTTATTCTTAACACGAAGATCTTGCTAGAGTGTGGGACATGAATCTCATGGTTTGTTAAAATATTGCAGCTATGGTGGTATTATTTATGGAAAAGCATTATTTGCTGTTGTTCTGTTTAGAGGGTCAGAAGTAGCCTGCCTAAAGTCATACTTCAAAGATTGTTAGAACATTTTCTTCTATATTCAACCCCACTGTGTTGAAAGGTTGCCGGTTCGTTTCTTTAAATTCCAACATTCGATGTTGGCAAACTGGACTGTGGTTAGGCTGCAGGTCTTCAGGAGCGGAGGTCTCTAGTGGCATCGTCCACATAGTTGAGCCATGGGATCGGGATCTATCATGGCTCTATTGAATCACGTCCCTTCGGCGGGTGGGATGGATGCCACCGCCCCATGCACAACATATTTATCCACGCATCGATACCGGGGCACGTACGGGCGCATGACATGAAAAAGATGAAAGAAAGCAATAGGCGTGCTCGTCGGTTTGCCATGAATCCAGAACTGCGACGAGCCCAGAAGACAGCTATCTATGGCATTGGCCACCGAAATATCTCATCCTACAACCTCAAGCCTCCTACCTGCGGTCGTTTCTAGAGACGGCGTGTCAATATCCCACCCCGCATCTTTCAAGCGTGATATCTGGTCAGCGAAATTCATAGAATGTGTCTGTAGCGTGGATTCAAGAATCGAGAGCATCGTGTCCGGATTTGTGACGTCAGCAGCGGTGTCCTTATAATTTTTCTTGCGGTCTTGACGTTCCAGTTTCACCTCTCCCTTCTTAATTGGGCTATTGTTGTTCTTTTCAGCATCTTCCGTTGTCTTCGTGAGGTGCTTCGCAACCAGAAGCGCATGGCTCCATGCTTTCAGTTGCGAAACAGGTCTCACATCATTCTTCAGGACAATGGTTCCCCTTCTACTAACAGGGTTGAACCATAAAATATATTCCTCTTTCTCAAAAAGACGTAACAGCCTGGGAATATCAATTGGGGCGTCACGGATGGAATTTGCTCGATAACTTCCGTTCGAGCCACAGAGTAACTCTTGGAACGAATTTCCTATTCGACAGAATCCCAATGTCGTGGAGGAAGCTTTCCAGCGGAGAATTCCATCACGCTCAAAAATCCTTTCACATTTGGATGTTTGTTTTGGGGTTAGAGCACGGCCTTCTTCGAAGAGCGTTGAAAAGACGATATTAGCTCGTTGACGGTTTAGAGTGGTCATGTTGACTGCACGCACTGCAGCGTAGTTTGTTGAGAGATGGATTAGAAGGAGAAATATGAGGGCTAACCCTGTCGTTAAAGGGGTGGAGATGTGTGAAACAACGAGACTTCCGCACTGTGATTCAACTAGTTAGAACGATGTAGAGCACACTAGGAAAAAGACAACTCTTTTATTTACTTACCAGCATTCCCATAAGTGAAATTACTGTTTCCTGACTTGAATCTTTCTAAAAAAAATACTTTCGTTATTATGAGTCTTATGAAAACTAGATTGATAACTAGGGTTCCAAGAGGGGAAACAAGCCATAAGAACACTAACAGCATTCAACTCCCCCAAATTACCCCATTTCGCAAAATGACTGCTCAGGCTTGCCTTCGAGCTCCCCGCAGCCACTCCACACAGGGCCCTTAAGATACTGGAGAAAGTCAAAAGCACAACTCTCAGGTGTTTCGGAAATGCTGGGGATAGACAGTCAACCACCATTGCCGAGTCATTGAGGACGTCGGCGGCAAATCTGTACAACTTGCACTCAGGCTCGAGGGATGTTCCAAGCCGGTGGGCAAACAGAATAGTGGCTATCCTGCCTATGCTTTCCTGAAGGACGCTGTGTAGCAAAGCTACCGTTGGGGATGCGGATGCATCTCCGACTCCTACACCTAATATATAGCATTTAGGTCAGATTATTACTTTATTTATTTATTTACTTTCTGCGGCTAATTCATGGACATATTTAGCGTACCTTGCAGCACAGCACGGGATGCCAGTAGTCCGGCAATTGAGCTTGAGAATGCTTGTAGTGAATCCTAAATAGATGGGCTATCAGCTCAAATATCCTTTAGGAATGGTAACAGTGGTGCACGTACATATATTTGATATCTTCAAATACGTATGCAGAAAACCAGTTAGCTTGGTACCAGAGAAGATTAATATAGCGAATGTAATAGGGGAATTCGCTCAGTTTGAGGCCCAACAGAATGCACTAAACCTCCTTGGACATTCTGACATACTAGTGCTAGACACAACGTTACGTATGCTATCTATTCCTTTGATAGCAAAACTTTATATTTGCGGTCATTTTCGAGAGCAAGAAATAACAGACTGTGTCAAGCTCCAGTAAACATTGGGCGAGGTTTGGGTATAGATGCAAGGGCCGAGACCAGGAAATCACTTACTCCATGTAGTCATCGCTGACGCTATGGGGATAGCCCGCAGGGAGGAAAACGATCAGAAGAGAGGTTAGGTATGAAGGAGACTCCTTTCGTGAAGGCCTCTACAGTTATATAAGTATTGTAAGTTAGCTGTTGGTAGTTGCGGCTTTGGCGATGAAGTCCAATATTTCCTCATTGGAGAGTCCCATTTTCGCTCCTCTCCTCCCCCCCGGCCACAAAACCACCACGCAGAAATGGGGTAGATTGAAATAATAACAATAATACATGTGCAAGGACGAGAGAAATAGCTAGCAATATAGTTGTTCTTGTTTGTATTGTTAGAAGAATTCATGCGGAAACAAGTAAAGCAGAGAGCGGAAATAAACACGAAAGAGAGACAATGTTAAGGTGTTTGTTGACCGAACTTCGCAAGGAAACAAATAGAAAAACATGCTTGCAACCTAGGAAGAGAACATACGACAACATCAACTCTGCGCCTCTGACGGTGAAAAGCAGCACCTTCAGGAGAATCCGGAATACGAGGTTGTAGGGATTCCGTCGTCGCCGAGTAGATGTAAGTTGCGGTTGGTTCACCTATTTCATTGGTTTCTCTGATGGTTATTGCATCGTTGGAAGGCATTGTCGTTTGCTCTGCCTAATAATTAGCTCGATGGTACGTTCGGTGTGATATCTCCATCCATAAATCTGTTGTTGAGTATCGATTTCGTCCTCTATTTAAGCCATAGTTGTTGAGGAGATGTTGAGGTCGTGGAGGCGGAGGGTCATTTGCTCTTGTTGTTCTAGTCTTGACTAACTAATTGAGTTGTGGAAATTACATATCTACCCGTACTTGGATTCCCAACCGTCCTCAACTGATCTCCTCCTGTCGATTCCAATGGCCACAGACCCACAAGCCCAAATAACAAACCATCTCCTCACGACCAAATCCCTTCCTGTTTCCCGCACTTGGCTCGCCCAATTCCTCTCCTCGCAGCGTGTAGCAACGACTCCCCTCTCCACTCTCACGCAAACCGCCTTATTCCGATTGCTAGCTTCCGATTTTACAACATCCCTCTCTGCAACAAACCCCTCACACACTCTCCCGGAGGACATTTCAGACCCCACTATCAAAGAACGGCACGTTTCCGGGCCGGTCCCGTTGCAAGTGCTTGATATAGAGGATATAGAAAGCAGTCTATGGAGCCAAGTCGAAGCAATTGAGAAAATTGAGCGGGGAGAAGAAACGCATGGACGAGAAATAATCCACACTGTGACGCGCGATGAGACTGGGGAGGTTGAGGCTGTTAATAACAACGCTGGTAACACCTCTACGAATGCAGCTGGAGCAAATCGCAATGCACCAGGAGCACGGAATACATCAATTTCTAATTCTGCTAAGGGTGGGACACATCGGTTGGTGCTCCAGGATGTGAAGGGAACAAAGGTGGTCGCAATTGAATTGAAACCTGTTGAAGATGTTGGGATTGCAAAATTGCCCATTGGTGCAAAGATGGTAGTAACCAATGCAACAGTTGCGAGGGGGATGTTGTTGCTTGAGCCAGATTGTGTTGATGTGCTCGGGGGGAAGATTGAGGCATTGTATAGGCAGTGGACACTGGAGAGGAAAAATAGGCTTCTGAGTAGGTTGGAAGACCAGGCTGCTAATATCACAGCTCCATAAACCTTTAAGTATCAAAACATTTCACTTATTTTCCTCCAAATCACTAACCATCAGTAAAATCAATTTTGGCCAATTATGACTCGGATATAAAGTGGAAAAGTTCTTTTCCAATCATCTAATTCCCAAGGAGCTATCGTTATACTACGGCATCTCGATGACCAGAATGGATGTAGTATTTAAGATGCATCAAATGTTCAACAAAGTCATGACATCCAAAAGAGTTGCGTCAACATGTGTAGGGATGCTTGCAATACAACACAAAATGTTGCACCTTGAGCTAGCTGCGTCTCTTCCCCCCCCACCCAATTAGCCCACAAGACTTGTATCAGGAGGCAATACTACGTCTGGCGAGCTCTTCACTTCCTGCAAAGCATCGTGGAACAATGTCAATTGCCCTTTCGATGTCTTTTGAGATAAAAGTAAGCCAGTCCGTGACGAGAGTCACAGCTTTTGATTAAGCTTAGAGTTAAACTCTTCTTAGCCAACCCTCAGAGATAAGCTTAGAGCCGTCTCTGCAACTTTCAGCAGTTAGCAGCAGCTTCACAGTCCAATCAGAGCTAGCTGCACCTGAGTCACATCTGCCTTTGCCTGAGCAAAGCGTGATAATGATGATGTTGACTCTGATGATTCATACTACTCTGTTTCCAATAGCAGTGCACCCCATTTTCAAGGCTCGAATCAGCAGCGGTAGAGCTTCCCATTCTCCCAGCCAAACATGGGCTGAAAGATGTGAAATCGGGAGGTTTGGAGGGTGATGTGCCCTTTCCTTTATGCAGCGGTGATTTGCTGAACCTATTTCGATGTTTGCTAGGACTGCAGATCGCACATGATGATTGGTGGCAGGAAAATACTATATGCTTTTTTACTTTTTCCTTTTGGGATATGCAAGCTCTAGAGTTGAACTACGAAAATAGCACGGGCTCTGGCCCTTTGACCGCTATTGAGGGGGGGAGGAGAATAGTTTTATGGAAATTGGAGTGATTGTGATAGAGTACTGCGGAGAGTGTATCGAAAGCACCATCTGACACATCGTGAGATTGTTCGAAGAAAGAAAAGCCTGGCCAAGCAAAATCAATACCCAGAGCGAGGTTGCAAGTAACATCAGCAGAACTGTATCTTTTAACAAACAAGCCAACAACGCCCAACAGCAGATAATAGCGTAACAGTAGTACCAAGAAGACCAGAATCATATATGTCTGCGCATCCCATAACCCATGATACCTTTGGAGAGACGAACCCATAATAACGCTGAGATAAAATATATTGGTGATACAACAGCGGCGACTTGAAGAAGAGAATGAGAAGAGAGGGGTACGCACGGGCACGGCGATGTCGACGGCACCACCGACTGCCCAACGCCGAGGATGTCTAGCCTGCTGGGATGACTCTCGTCGTTTCCTAGCAGCCCTGGCCCTATGGAAGCCACAAGAACCACCACGGACGTCCTGGTAGAATTCATATACGGGGGGAAAGTATCATCACGACTGCCCTAATCATGCGAACAAGCTGGCTCCGCCCGTCTCGACCGCATCGATCTCCTCTTGCGACCAGGTCATGCGGCGGAATCTCTCCGGCAGCTCGTTTCGGTCGAAATATTCGCCCTTCCTGGGTGCAACGGTCCCGAGAGATGCGCCCGTCTGGCCTCCGATAGCACCTCCGTATATTCCGTTGGATTGCGGGGTGTAGTTCAGCGGACCGTGCTGTTGTGCCTTGGCTCTGTAGGAGGCGAACGACTCGGGGAGAGATGGGGAGGGGGAGGCAGGGTGGACGCGTGGGGAATGGTCAACGGACTCTGAAGAACGCACAGGTTAGTTTAAGGGATGTTGCAGATGGCCTATATATATATATATCTCCTTCCTGTCCTTGGGAGGGGTACATACTGGGAACAGAGCGTTTTCCAATGAATTTAATCAGTGGAGTTCTAGCGGCGGCGGCTTGCTGCAGAATAGATGATGCACGCATTGTAATGTATTGAGATTGTGCGTGTGAGGAGTGTGGGATCGATGCTAGGTCCGTGCTAGGAGAGAGATGGAAAGGTGCTAGCTGCCGCAGGTAGTGACACAGGATGGAATATATACACGCGACGCCCGTTGACCAACTGTTTTCTATTCTCCGTCTCTGCCAGCTGAGGAATTGATTTGTCTGTGTCTGTGCGGGAGTGACAGGGGTGAGAGGACAGAAGAGGGAGCGTTTTGGGGATGGTTATTATAGTTAATACTGGAAGTTGGCACTAACTATGAATTAGCAGAGGCGGCTTGTTTATTTAACTAACTAGTTAGGCCCTTTGGGACGTTGTGGCACAGCGCAAGCCGTTGAGATATTTAAGCGTTGCAGCAGCCTTTGGTTAAACGCACAAATCAAGGCGGAGCGTTGCTTCAATTGAAGCTGTGAATGATGAAATTGCCCATTGGAAAGGTTCCAAGATTTAACGAACGGCCAGCAACGATTAATCTGCTTGCCTTCTGCACCGCCCGAGCAGCACAGCTCCAGAACCAAACATTGCGCATTCCTCTTCTCCCTCTTCCTTCGCGGCCCGTCCCCAGCTGGCATCGGATCTAACACAAGGGCCGGGCAGCTAAATAATAGCACCAACCATCGGCGGTCGTTATCACCAATGGTTGGTTGCCAGCACCAAAATGTGGCCTGACAATTCACTCTTTTATTATTAATAATAAATTAACTTGTTAACTTGTTAACTATTAGTTAGTGAATAATAGTTAATAATATACCCGCGTTATCATCGTCCATGCGGGGTTGCTCCCAACCCGCGGTCGTTAGACTCATATCGGCGGTAAATTGAATGAATCACTCGATGCTCTTATTGCGTACGTATTATTGCGTATTACCGATGTGGCCTTTGTCAGATACAAACCAACGCCATCGTCGGCTTTCTGACAAATCCCCCGTTTCCCGCCTCCCTCGTGGCTTTGGCATCCGAAAACACCCGGACCGATTCCATGGCTTGACACAGCTTTCCTCCAGGTAGCTGCGCCTGTTTCCGCCTGTTTCCGCTAATTATATCTCTCCCCGATTCCTTCCTCCCCCCTTGCCCAGTGATCCAACGAGCCGCCGCAGCCGATCCAACCACTTGGATCACGTGATTGCCATTTCATGTGATTTTATAAGACATATGGGGCAGTTTTGGAGGCTGTATCATAAGTTAGTTATCGTGTGACCGATTGCGCACGAGGCGTGTTGAGTGCGAAGCCGCAGATGAGAACTTCAGCCGACTGTACCCTTGTGATAATATTCCGCCGCTATCCTTGCGGAACGCCAAGGCGTGTCGGGCCTTTTTTCAACTCGGAAGTTTTTTTTTTTTTTTTTTTTTTTTTTTTTTTTTTTTTTTTTTTTTTTTTTTTTTTTTTTTTGCGCGCCCAAGTGATTAGTTTAAGGTTTCCACAATTGAAACTCATGTTCCTGACATTGTTAGGAAGTGTGTTGCCGTAACTCTTAAGCGAAAATAAAAAATTGCGGAAAATGTCAACAGTGGAAGTACTACCAACAGGATCTTATCCAAAAAATGCCCTCATAATGGCCCGAGAGATAAATGGCACACTGTAATCATAGGGACATTTTCAAATCAATTCCGCTCATAGCAGAGACAGTACCTAGAGATCCTCGATCTGAGTGGTTTAGAGGAGGACAGCCATTTAGGTCACGTGACTTGGATGTCGAACTTCATCTGGAACCTAAGCTTCAATATATCTATACAATCAAGCAGTAATATCATTTGACATTGAAATTCGGAAACGTCATTAACCTGGGGCTTCTTTTTATTGAGTCTGTTTTTTTCCCCTGTGCTCTCCGATAACTACTCTACATAGGGTGCCCGTCTTCAATCTGCTTGCTTCATGAGAACACGAGAACAATCTGCGAACGTGTTCATAAACATCCTCCCTACAATATATCTAGCTTTCACACTTCCAGAGAGAAAACATCTATCAAAAGTTCTATCGGACTAAAAAGGCCTGACAGTCTCTCTATATCATTGGATGATCTCTATGGAAATACATACAATAAACTTCAGGACAAGAGAGTGCTGTTGTTCTACGGATATCATATGCATGAACTCCTGCTCTTCGCTTCCGTGCCAGCGAAGCAACATCATGATTTGCTGCAACAGCTCTCCGGCCTCACTGCCATGCAGCCGACCCGCACTTTAGAGCGGCATCTGGTTTTCAAAGCCTACAGGAAACCGGGCTTTATAAAAACGCGCCCAGGTGGTAGCCAGGATGTGCAAGCTCCCGAGGTCCAGAGGCTCAACAAGCTTCTGAATGGAGGATTGTATTATACGCAGGTTGTCGGCAATGTCCGGGAAAGGGACTTTGGCTCCGTACCTTCTCCTTCCTCTGTGTCGGCATCTGCGTCTGCTTCACACCCAAGAGCAGATGATAGTGCTCAGGCGCACGAAGCATCGTCATTGATGAACGGAACTGCTCCCGCCACCGTGGAGGGCGGATACGTTGCGGCGGATCAGTCATGGAGATTGGAATTTAAGGATACGCCGGAGGCTGGGCAACGACCTGCAGTTACTTCGCGGTTTGTGGGGAGTGCGAAGCTCCCTTTTGGAAATATACTTGCTGAAATGAAAGCTTGGGGGTTTAAGTAGGTTTTTTTTTTTTCTTTTTTTCTTTATCCCCTTTTTTCCACTAAGTTTTAGACATACACAATGCGTTCACTTTTGAGCTAGGTACTAAGTTGTTAATCCTGATGTAGCTTCGTCTCTGAATACGTTCTTGAAGGCCATACATTTATCCTTGATGACACGGTATTGCTGGTGCACCGGGTGCTCACCTTCCCACCCGGCAATGCTGGGTGTGGCGGTGGTGGCAGCGAGGCAACATCAACGCCAACCAGTTATCTACCCCCTCTGGATAAGATGGTACCATTGGACTCTAGTGGCGCGTACGTTTTGCAAGCTTCGATTACGGTTAAAGAGAGCGGCAACCCGGACATGCTGAAGGCAAACTCGCAGCGACTTCTGGGATTGAAAGAGCGTTTGAAGTCTGTTGTGAAGCTGGAGCCTGCGGATAGGCTTTCTCTTGATACGAGGGTGAAGTGAAATGCCAGGCTAAATAAACTTCAGTGTAATAATAATATAGCAAACATGAGCGGATATGAGCTGAGATGTTGTCAATCGAAGTGGTTGATGTGATCTGACTGGTAGAATGGTTGCCACGAATAAAACTTAAGATTGGCAACCATCCAAAATGCAAAGTCCCAAACTTATATTCGATATGGACTTACTGAACGAATACGGAGTAGATATCTCCTCACTGGACAGCTGATGACTACATCGTTCTTTTATGCCTAGTTTCAAACTTGAATGCAGGCAACAAAGACAGCCTGGAAATCAATTTAATCCACGTGACTTGGCGATCCAATCAACGCGTACTCGCGATTTCAACTTGTGAGAGAGATACCTATCGCTTAGTTGGTATTGAGATCCTAGTATCCAACCCATCGTCAAGCTCAAGACAGTTGTATATATGGCTTCGTCGCCCCTCACAGTCCTTCCAGTTGCCCGTGGCACATTTTCATCTACCCAACTTAATACTGGCCCGGTTCTCCCTTACATACGATCAATCATGACAGGCACTAAGAGAATAATACCGGATGGAGCTATCTCCCCTCCCCCGCCGAAACGCGCAGCTACAGGAGCGGTGACTAGTGAGTGTATTCCCAAATATATTGTCCGGCCTCCAGTAATGATCAGAAGCAGCTAACAGATGGTCTGCTTGTAGACAACAGGACACTATCCAACTTTTTCACGCCCTTGTCCCAAAAGAAGCCTGATATCACCACTTGGAGAATAGTCAACAACAGCTGTGTAGTGGGAAAATACCACTCGGAACAGGCTGCAGAAGCTGTCAAATCCGGATCGAAACGAAGAGTTGCTGCCTTCGATCTTGTATGTTGAAATACAGATTTTGGAAACAGAGTATAGTTAGGATCTAATCTGGATAGGATTCTACCCTGATCGCAACAAAATCTGGCAGACGGTTTGCAACAAATGAGAATGATTGGAAATGGTGGAACCCAAGTGTTCCTAAAAAGCTGAAGGAGCTGAATGATGAAGGGTTCGTTGTGGACCTCACTTCTTACATGCCAATTGCCAGTTGTTCTTTGTTGAGTGTTTTATGTCTGTTTACAGGTACCTGGTCATCGTTCTGTCGAATCAAAAGGGCATAAGCCTGAAGAAGAACCTTAAAGGTGGTAGGCTGGAGTCGAAGAGCTTGTCAATATTTAAGCAAAAGGTTGCAGCGGTTATGCAAACTTTGAATGTACCATTTGCCGTTTACGCCGCGACGGAAAACGATGAATTCAGAAAGCCACGCATGGGGATGTGGAGGGAGATGGTTGATGATTACGACCTCAACGTTTGTGATTCCTTAGATCTGAAACAGTCTATTTTTGTTGGTGATGCTGCTGGTCGTGAAGGCGACCATTCCTGTGTAGATCGGTCCGGAGCCCCTAAACCACTGACCCCTCGCATCGTTTCTGGTGTGCTGATATACCGTACATAGTGATTTTGCATCAAACGTCGGAATCCTTTTCAAGACTCCCGAAGAATTTTTCTTGAACGAAGACCCCAAGCCGATTATAAGACATTTCGATCCCAAGGCCTACATCGTTGGCACATCGGAAGACATACGTAGGTGATTCATTTCTTCCTAATCCCCTCGTGGATTCCAGATTCCTATGAACTCTATGTTACGTCTTAGCCACGCATACTAAAGTGTAATCATGCTGCAGAAATATCTTTTGAGAAGAAAAATGATCCTGAACTTGTCATATTTTGTGGAAGTCCGGGGTCAGGGAAATCGACGTTTTATTGGAGATGCCTGGAGCCCCTTGGTTATGAGCGGGTGAATCAAGATATTCTAAAAAGCGTAAGGCGCTCTCGACTCTGTCCTGTCTTTGGAGAGAATTAGAATACCAATATTTGCCTTATATGTGCTAACATGAGTTTATTCTTCACTTGAAGCGGCCAAACTGTCTCAAGGCTGCAAGAGAGCATTTAAAAGTGGGAAATTCGGTAGCTGTTGGTACGACACAAGTTTTTTCTCTCCTTTTACTTTGAATTCTTTAATCTCACAATTACTCCTTTCCTTTTCTAGACAATACAAATGCGGACTCGGAAACCCGTGCATATTGGATCGAACTTGCGAAGGAATTTTCAGTTCCTATCCGGTGTATCTATCTAAACACTCCGCTGCAAATCTGCAGGCACAACGATGCTGTGCGCTCAGCCAACCCAAAGATGGTATGTAATCAAGCCATCCATAATTATTTACTTTGTCCATATATCGCTCTTTGTGGGCGCTGAAAGAGAGAAGCTGATTTTTAAGTTACTGTTGAACAGGAGTCGCTAAATCCTGAATCCCGTACCGCTCTCCCGGGAATGGCTTTTGGAGATTTCATGCGTCGATTCCGTGAACCCACCCTCTCCGAAGGGTTTCAAGACATTACTCAGGTCGAGTTCAAATTCCGGGGGGATTCTGCTGCCAAGGAGGTTTGGGGGCAGTTCTGGGTTTGATACCGCCATCAAAACTGGCATTTCCTTCACGTTTAATGAAGATTGAAAACTGATAACGACTTTTCCGTTTGCATAGCTTCGGCTGGCTTACTCCTTTTATCGTTCCTTATTTTCGACTGATATATAGATTGGTTTTCGTTCCAGTAGACAGACGAAGAAGATGTCTGTACAGGTAAGCATACGCTAATTTGAGAGAAAACACTCCGAGTCATGGAGTATTTTTCATCGCATCGATGGTTTTCGAAGTTCGCTTTGGGTTTTAAAAGTAAACCGGTTATTTTATAGAAAGTCGTCGTGCATTTCGTTACACCTCCTATGGTTGAGGAACTTATCAAGAATCGAGCACTAATGCTTGTTGAGGCCTACATGTTTATAGAAGATGGGGAAAGAATAGCTAGTTACTCCGTATAAAACCGCTACAAATCCTTCTGCCTGAAGATCTGCAATAGTTACGAGACAACGGCTAAGCTTCTGATGCGACACGCTTAACGAAAACCCCTGCCGGCTTCGCAATTTTTATCCTACACTTGTCCAGTGACTGTTCGAGAAAGTCAAGCTAAGCATGAGTTATGTATTGTTAGATAGGCGCGATATTGATCGGCTGTCTATTTTGAAGCGATATAAACGGACATCATCCTCCAGAATGAAATCTGTGCACATTCTGCAGCACAGTGAGCTCTATCTCATGTTTCTTGGAGGGCCCTGGACTTGTAACTAGTCATGTTCCCCTCTTACGCATCTCTCCCCAACGAGCCGATCCGCGACGTGCATCTGACAAGTTCGCTGCATCCCAATGTGGACACACATATCCCATCCGACGAAGGATGGTAACGCTGCCTACGGGGATCAAGTAAAGAATATTGAAAACAGACAAAGTTGGTATTCTAGGTTCGTGGTTCTGGGAACCCAGTGATTGTATTCTGAGCCTCAACCCTGTATGTATAAAACTCAGAAATCAACGGCGGATTCGACATTCAAAAAATTATTGACGAACGTTCAAGTTCAACGCTGATATTTCCGTTCTCGCCAATGCCGTCAATGCCTCGGCACTGTTCGCTGTTGGAGCCTCTTATCACTCAGCTGAAATGGTTGTGGTTAAAAGATACGAGACGCTTGTAAGATTTACAGCTTTTGATGATGCTAGTCGAGGCCCTTTGGGTCTCTTCATTTGGTCTTTTACCTTCGTGGAGGGTGAACCCATCTGTGAGTGACACTCTCCACTAACAAGCTTGATATGAGACAGTCTAACATATCCACCTAGACATCTTGCATCCTTCGGTGCTTTGGTGGTTTTTTTCCGTCTGGTGTTGGAGCTACTGGCTGTGTACCAAATAGAGATCGTATATAAAAGTCGGCTCAAGCCCCGGTTTCGCGTATTAACAATGTGACATTTGCCTACCCAAAGTAAGGAAACAGTGTTCTCGAACCCATCATCTCTCAGCTTAATGCTTATGGCATTTCCCCATCCAGGGATGGAAGACCTTTCAGTGGGGTCTGTTTTGCAGCAAGGTCTTATGAACGCCATATTCAATAGAGACGCTGCTCCTAAACTCGAACCATCCTGCCCTACGGGGAACTGCACTTGACGCCACCCCTGCATTCTCTCGGGGTTAGCAGCTACTATGTTGATATTGTAGATAAGGTTATATTGGAGGGGGCATGTACTCCAGGAGATTTTCTAGGAATGGAGAAAACCTGCGCCGTTTCGTTTCCGCATGGTTCTTCCTGTCGTCAATCCCAATGATGAATCTGGAGCAGCCTCTTACGTCTCTTGGCTCCTGAATGAATTACGTACCGGACAAAGGTGTCGACTTCTCAGTCGGAGCCCCGAAGATTACGGAACATATGCGGAAGTGCGCAATCCGCTCTTTGCCCTAGGCTGGCTGGAAATTAAAACTACACTTCACTCACAAACACAGAACTCATCTCTGCAGCTTTGGAGTGTATGTTTCTTTGCTGCCTCCAGCGATATGACGTCCCCGTCTCAAAGGTCGCCACTGTTCAGCAGGCGTCAATGGACAAGCTTTTCCGGCTGAAATGTGACGGCCCCTATTTTAACAAGGGTAAGGAGAAGATGACCACGTTCGTCATAGACCAGGCCGCCAGTCACAGCGTGTGGCGTGCTCTCAACCTACATGTCCTTGGCAACGCAATTACATGGCCTGAATCAACCGAATACTTCATCCCTTCCAACGATTTCATCGGAATAGTACGAACCGTTCGCGACAAAGCCCATATGATGGAGATTGCTGCCCTCTCACACATTTATTTGTTGACAACAAAACAAAAGGAAAACACGGCTCGTATGTTGGGATTTGAACGTCGAGCGGTATAGTCTTCAAGATGTATATCCATCAGCATGGGAAGTTGTCGGAAAATAACCCTCACACTCCAAGAATCCCCTACACGAATATGGACGGGCAGGACACAAAGAGGAGGAGCGAATTCCTGAAAAGAGAGAAACGGAATCCATCAACAGCACTGAGGGAACCGTGCGGGAAAACTCACTCGTTCCTACGTCATTTATCAGCCTCGTATTCAACCCGAACCACTCAATCCATGCCAACAACCGACAATATCAATTTCTTACCCATTTGTGAAGGTCACGTACTGCTTCAACCTAGGCCATGACAGAACCTAACAACACCCATTTTACCTCGGGCAAGGTCTGAAACGGGAGAGCTCCCTGAGCAATTGCAATCATACATCCCACAATGATCGCCAAACATGCTGCACAACCCTATCCTCTACCGATTTCGCAAAAACCAACTATTTTCCGAAACTAATATATTGATTCAAAGAAAGTGTTCAACAGTGGAAACACTATTTTGGATATACCATCTCACATAGACCTGGAACTTCATCCTGCATTGCTCGCTGGTCCAGCTCAAGTCAATTTCCTTAAGTACATGTGTATATAGATAAAACATAAACACAACTACAACATGAGTTGTAGATAGCATACTCATTGTCAAATAAACTTTTCTGATTTTAATTGCCTTTTTGTAAAGATGCTTTCCTCTTCTACATATCGACGATTTTTGTGAATTTTGTTTGTCTCGACGCCAGGTACCGATACATCATATATTATCATGTATCCATCACTCTGTGTCTACGACAAAAACACCACACATGCTCAATTTATAAGTATAGCCATATCCCCAGTCTAGCACATCCACTTGTCTCCTCTCATCCCTCTCCCTCCCCGGCCAATCCCGCCACTAAGTCATCATCCCTTCCATTCTGCGTTGCGGTTATGGGGTTGCCAGGTTCGTAATACTCGTACAGTAGGACACCAAGGAATAATACAAAAGGAAGCCATGCTATGATTAAACATGTTGTCTAAGGATGGGGATGGGGTATCAAAGAAGATGGACATTAGGAACCAGGTCTCGGAGAGTAGTAGTATTGAGCCAAAGATTTAGGAACAAAGGTAAAAATCATACAGTACACAATAAACATTATGATGAATGGGGGATGCGGTAAGCGAAACTATTTAAGAGTAGGGTTATAGGATAGGAACGGGGCGGGTAGTTTAGGGTATGAAATGAAGCGGACAGAGTGATCAGCCAGGTAGATAAGTGGTGAGCAGGATGACCAGTCCATTCGATATTAAGCTTAGTGGGAGGGAAAAGAAGAGGAGAGTAAAGCAGTGTAATGGGGAAAGACATTCGCGTGTTCGGAACGACGCAGTTTGTCTGTTGCAATACCGCGGCTTTTTTGCTTCAGCCCTTCACAACCGTTGCCGTCTTCTCTCCAGCAGTTAGTTTATAGCTAGTTGTTCTATGTCCACCTCATCAATTCAATAACCGCTTTCTAGAAATAAAATAATAGCGGGAGCGTGTCCAGCTAGAGCAAATTCTCCGACTGGGCTATATGGGTGTAAACAGGAAGAGAAGGTAAAAATTGGGGTAATCCGGTCTTTTAGTAAAAACTTCCATAAGGCTGTAGCAGAAGGAAAGAAACCTGGAAAACATGAATCATGTAAATAGTAATAGATCTTGGGGTATAATAAATTGGTAGGAGAAATCAAGGCACTACGGCGGGGGGTCAAACCAGGAATGAAAGACAACTAAATGGGATATCAAGGAGCGTAAAGGTATCATCATATCGTTGGGATGAAAGCCAAAAAGGAGCGTCATCGTCATCACGTAATATTTGATTAGTCATCAAACTGTAGGTAGTTATAGTCTGGTGGGAGAACAAAGGAAAGCCATGATAAATAGGAACGCATGGATGAATGCATGCCAGGATGGCTCGGAGGAAATCAATTAAGAAAATAGGCAAGGGGGAAAAAACATGATAATACGGTACAAGGGTTCGAAAGTGCCAAAACCAAGTCGACTCTGCAACTTCTTTTCCTAGTTTATCTTCTCTGGTTGATCAAGCTTTCACCCCAGAAGGACTAAATAAGTCCCGGAGGAACTTGAAGAATGTCCGGTTTTTCGACTTCCAGGTCCTGCCAGGTGACATCTGTGGTGGCCCAGGAGCCACAGACATCGGCCCTACAATATCTTCATCACCTAGATCTGGAAACTTCTCCTTGTCCAGCTTGGGGATTTTGACAGCTTCAACCAGGTGAACATGTTTCATAATAATAGGCTTGTTGCCCATTCTGACCGGGTTGCCCTTGCTATCTTCCAGACCTGCGACAAGTTGGTCATGCGTTTCTCTCCACTGTGCATCGACGGAGTCCCATTTTTCTTCTGTTAGGTGGTAGATGTTGGAGGTAAGGCCGTAATGTTCACGGATGCGGATGAGGTGCTTCGCGTAGTTACAGCGGGCGCGGGACCAGTTTGTTGTGTGTGATTCCAAGGCTTCGAGGGTTCGGGTTTGCGGGAGGTAGGGTTCGGGCCTGATGGTGAAGTTGGCGTGGCCTAGTTTGTTCGACCATGCGTCATTTGGTTCTGGCATTGCGACCGGGGAAATGTCTGGAACTTGCCCTATGGCAGCTGCTAGTTGTCGGCTTATGGATGATACGGATGGCTGATTTGATAGTGGGGGTGAAGGTAGGCATGCTGGTCGGGAGGTGTCCAGGGAGTTGTGGGAGGTGGTTGGGTGTGAAGTGTCAGTCACATCTGCAACGGAGGGGGATTGTAATGGTGATTGAGTGAGGGATATGTCATCCCCTTTCAGGAATTCCATCATCATAGGTGGTAAAAGCGGTGTTGTCGCCTTCGGTTGAATCTCTGTTATACTTTGTCGATTTGCCTTGTCAATATCCAGACCTGGAATACCGGCCTCGTTTAACCGATCTTCAAATATCGCTCTCGCTGGCGAGGAGGAATTATGGCTGTGTTGAATAGAGAGAGAGCTGACTGCGGGCCTCACTAACATCGATGTTGCGGAATTGGCACGCGATCGCAATGATTCATCATATTTCCCCAAAACTGCAGCAGTATCTGGTCTCTGTTTTTGTTTCCATTTGGATGACATGGAAGTAAATCGGGTACTTATTCGAGATATACCGTGAAAAGAGGCAGATTGGGTATTTTCTGGTTTTCGTTTCTTAGGCGTACCGTTGATTTCTACAACATCGTCGGAAAGGTCGTATTCATGAGACCCCAATATCAGGTCATCACCGCCACCAACATGATCACCCGTGTGAACCTTGTTAAAATGACCTGTAATTTGACCAAATCCGATGTCAAAACTAGGGAAATGCTGGTTTCTAATTTCCGTGCCACAGGAACACTTACGAAAATACGGACAGCCTCCAACAGGACTTGTCTCGCGCTCCAGTGGTTCCTCTTTCACATCGGTCAAATGTGTCTTCATCGTGCTGAACCCCTCAGAGAGGCTCCCGAGACCAGGGGAAGATGCTAGCGACGAGGAGGAGCTGGGGAATCTGTTATGGGTTCTCGTGGAGAAGAGCGAAACGGCAGGGGATCCTGAGTTGGATGACGCGATGGATTGCGGTGACTGCGGGTAGGGAATGGCGAAGGGCAGAGTCTGAGTTGATTCCATGTCTGAGTGTGTGCTTTCGCATTTGGTTGCTTCGAAGAGGTGTGACAGACGGAACATTGTCACAAAATAATATCCTTTTTGTTTCTTTTTAAAGAAACGTACTTTAGGGCAATTGAGTATACGGCATGGTATCATATAAGTACGGTTGTGGTGGCGTGTGTATGCCCTGTGAGCCCTTTTGAAGAACGACTTTGCAGGTGACAAGCCCAACACGCGATAGAATACGTGGAATTGAGTGGATGGCAGTCAAGGACCTAAGCTGGCAAAAGGCGGGATGATTTTCTCTACAACTTCAGGCACAACAACGGCAGGAAAGGGAAACGCGGAGTTGTTCGTGGAGGTGATATCGCTCTTTATCCTGTTTGACCACAACCTGATCCAACAGTTGTGTGGTGTTGGTTGTATGGATGGATGGATGGATGGATGGATGGATGGGATGTTCCGACGGAGATAGCAGACTTGTTTTTGCTGGCGTGTAGGATGGCGTTACCGCATTGGACAGTTGCTAGGAGACTATTTTAAAAGACCCCAAGACTGGCGGCGAGACTGATCTTAATACGATTTGGGGCGGGAAGAGACAACAGCAACGAGACACAGGATGGGGGTGGGTATTTTAAAGACGAACGGGAGAGTTGGGAGGAAGAGAAGGATGGAGAGAGAGAGAGAGGGGAGGGGGGAGCAATAGGTACAAATAGGTAAAAATAGAGTGTCAGACTGGATCCAAGTCAGTGAATTGGAAAGTCAATGAGATCAGCAGCAGAGTTGCACAGCGAGGAACAGCACCAGTATGAAGAACGGGTTGAGGCTTGAAGAGACTGGAAGAGGAAACGGTGAGATTCAAGCACGGTGGGCAGCAAGAGTTGGTAGCTGGTTGACCCAGCCAGTCCCACCAACAGACCGACAGAGCAGAACAAAGACCCGAGGGGAGCAGAACAGAGCAGACAGTCACTGCAAGGCCCAAGCAGAGCGGCAGGAGAATGCGAAGATAGTCAATGCGGGAGATAACATCTGCTGTGGACTGGGCGGTGATCGGGAGAGCGATGTGTAAGGCAGAGATCGGGCAACAAGAAAACAGAGCGAAGACTGGGAATGCTCTGAAGGGCACACTGTGAATGGTGTGAATTGAGTGTGAAGAGTGAGGAGGGGAATAACGCAGCCACTTACACCACTGACACTTAACCCTGCAGCCAACCGAGTAAGACTGAAGAGAAGACCGAGGAGAACAACAGATCAGACGCTAGAGGAGTGCTGTTTTCTGCGCCAATGGATTTGTTTATTTTATTTCTTGGATGGCGGTTCTTGACTCATGAGAAGAGGAAGAAGAGGAGGAAGAAGAAGAAGAAGAAGAAGAAGAAGGAAAACGGTTACAGCCTTACCTGTTCCTGGTAACTAAAGGCGGGAAGTTAGAAGGATCCAAAAGCAGAGAACAGAGCAGACTCTGGTACCTAAATCTGGTTGACAGATTCATGTGTTCTTTTACTCTGCAGTCTTGTACGGAAATATCCAGACTTGATACCCCCCATAAATCTCCTTGCCTTTGGTCTACATGTGTTTACTTCCCACAGAATCATCCGGAAAAAATGGAAGAAAAAAATCATATAAAAAGCTGCACGAAAAAGGAAAATAGAGGAAGAGAAGAGCAGTGACGAATCCATTTTTGACTTTCCATTTTTTTTTATCGGTGGTCTTATAAAAAAAAAAAAAAAAAAAGGCTCGCCCGCCGAAAGCCCGAAACTGACATTATCGTGGGAAGATTTTTCGATCGTTGGCTCCATGTTGCTGGTTGAACCACTAATTGCACTTAGCTTATCGTACCAGCAGCAAAAGTGGCGAGCGAAAAAATATAAAAAAAGAAAAGAAAAGAAAACGGAGACTGTGGGCGCTAGAAGTTAGTTAAACCATGTCTTGCATGAATACGTTGAACCGTTTCTCGAGGGGGGCCGCCTCGCTGCCTCATTCGTTGCGAAAATACTGTGAGGAAGGGTGGAAAGCCGAAAAAAAAAAAGAAAGAAAGAAAAGAAAGAAAGAAAAAAAAAAAAAAAAAAAAAAAAAAAAAAAAAGGGAGTAAATAACTACAAAAGCAGCTGACTTAGTTATTAGTAGTAAAAAGGTTAAAGAAGAGGTCAGAGAGCTTAAAGAAAAGGGGGGGGGGGGGGGGGGGAAAGAAGAGCGGATTCCTGCCGACCCAAAACCTAGAGTCAAGGGATTTTCTTGTGGCAATGGGGGGGGGCCCTTTTGGTGACCTGACTGGTCTGTGGAAGAGTGAGGTGAAAGCAGGCCTGAGAAATGATCCGTTCATGTCCCTGGTTGGGGCGACCCAGGCCCGGGCAAGGAAGTTTTTATGCCCCGGGCCCTAGTGAACGAATTGCAGTTCTTGTGCCAGTGGACTCTTTGGATCGGTGGGCGGGCTTTTTAGCCTCAGCTAGTGAAACCTTTTGGGTTTGTGTTTCTTTTGCCTGTTTTTTTTATTGTTTATTTATTTATTTATTTATTTATTTATTTTTGTATATGACTGTGGTTCCTGCAGCGAAAAGGGCGGTTGATAGAGAAATTTTTCTTTTTTTTTTTTTTTTTTTTTTGAATGGCGAAACAGGAAAAGAAGCAGAAGCGAAGAAAAGAAGAAAGAAAATAGTAGAGATGTGAAGGGATGAGAGGTCTCGCGCTTTGTGTGCCATTTTTTCTTCTTCCTCTTTTGTTTCCCCCCTTGCTTGGAGATGCATATTAAAATAATACATCCAGGTTTTTATTGCATTGCGGCATGGATTGTGGATGATGGAACCCATCTCACCCAAGGGCCGCTGGTTGAGGAATGGCTAGGGGTCAAAATATTGGTGGATTCACATGTTAGCATGACATATATACCTAGGTAAGGTTGCAACTTATCACATACGAAAAGAGTTGCTGGCAACAAGAGTCTGGCGCTTGATATATCCAGCACATACGACGTATGCAAATGGGAGCAATAGCATGACAGCCTGCCTCGTTGTCATTCTTCTTCCGTGTCATTTAATTTTCAACCTTGTGTCCAACCTGTCATGTGTGAAGGAATGCATATGCTGCAGTAAACATAACCGCTCACAAGAGCAATTGCGTATGTAGGCCAGGAACTAGCATCGGGTTGTTTGGATCGGACTGGACAGCTTTAGAGAGGGAGAGTAGGAGAAGTGATGTCTTTCAGGTTTACTTGCGGACAGCAACAGATCAAGAGAACAAACAAAAGCGCGACAAAGAAATGGGATAGAAAATTTTCCATGGGATGTGGAGGTTATCTTACCGTTTGGCTGCATGCAATAGCCCTAAGAAGTATGGAGAACTTTTCTTATTTGTAAAGTGGGAGAAGATCAGCCCTAAACTATTGTTTGACAGCTGCGGCATTGTTGACTCGTCGGGTGTTTCTAGCAAACGACAGCCTGGGGCAGTGGGGGTTACTAGAGCAAGGCTCGGGTCTTTTGCTTTCCTTTTCTTCCTTCATCTGTTGAAGCAAACGTAAGCTCAAGGTTGTGTGGCAATGCGGGATGCATGAAGAGATTGCCGTGTAAGCGTCCCTGTGAGGTCCAGAACTTCCGAATTCCATGCATATCAATCCAAAAGAAGGTTGCCCATTCCAAAGCTTCTTCGTTCAATAACTGCCAATTTGGGGAAGACACCAATGCAGTCTATCAAGCCATGCCAGAAGTTGAGTTTTTGGAAACTATCACTGGCCTTCGATGTCAGGGGTAACCAATAAGAGTACATGATCCACGTTCAAACGAATCATTGACATAGCGGAAGGATATCAACTAACCGTATAACCTAGCCGCCTGTAAATCAAATCCGTACAATACTGACATGCTGAAGCCGGTGCACTATATTCCAGAAAATTTGCAGGTTCAGTTGAGGGAGCAAGTATGCCATGCACATTAATATGTGCCTCTTCTGTCTTTCGCATTCTGAAATTCGAACGTTCATTCTTGTAACTCTTCTGGATTTATCCTTCGTAAAACACGTTAAAGAAAGAGTGGAATGGATTTTCTCAATTTTTATTTACCGCTACACCTACACCGAGCACTCAGAGAACCCCGCCATCGTCCAATTTCAAACACGGCTGGAGATCTGATATTAGGCGTGGGACTGAAGCACAGACGCACGCAACGTAAACACGAACACCAGAATTTGAGATCCGGGTGATTGTTCACCAAGCAGCAGCGGTATGAGCAATAGTGGGTTTGAGGAACATTTTCAGTTTTGTTTTCATCCTCCAACAATACTCTAGAAGTAGCTACATCTGTCAAATGGGGTTGGATCGTGCAGCAGTTTGGATCAACGCAGCATGGCAGTCCGTAGGAGTAGTTGAAACCTGGGGAAATCCAATATGCTCTCGTGGATCAAGCAGTTTGTGCATATTTGGGTCTGTTGCGGGTGAGATTTGCACTTTGCAAAGCTCTTCATCGTCGCCATCTTATAGTTAGATTATTTTGCTTTTTCTCCTCTTCTTCTTCTTTCTGCCAAAGGCCTGGACTCGCGTTGTGCCTGGATAATTATGCTTGTCCAGGGATTGAATCGGCAGCGTTATTATTTAATATTGATAGCAATGAACATCAGATCCGGGTTGCGTAGGCCTCTCAACTCCTGCAATGAGAAGAGTTTTCTTTACTCTTCTTCCCTCTAATTGCTGTCAAATGGTTAACACCTAAAAGAAAGCATATCACGCATTTATCACGAGCTGCCAGGGTATAAAGCTACTCGATAGAGTGCTTTTATTATTAGATGATAATACTGCAGCACAAGGAGAGAGTTTGGGATGGAATAACAGAAATATGATCCGCGATGTTTAGTTCCTTGCTATTGTGTGAAAGATTTGCCATAAAGTTTGTCTCCTGGTTATACACCTTGATCTGTGCCTGGTGCCGTTGGGATGTTCTATGGAGTAAACCAATCCGAAACCGGATTATCCTGGAGAGACCGTCTAGATCTAATTTCCTGTCTTCCAGGGTTGTCAAAGCCGGTGTGTGCCTCACGATACAACCTTGCATCCAAATCCGACCATTCATTCAATCCTTTAAAGTCGTGATTGACTCAAGGGAATGTCTCGAGGGTTCTCCTGGCGATGACGTCAGCGGCGGTGTATCTGCAGCCTGTCTTTGTCAGCGAGTCTATGTTCCATCCCACTCACCACTGCCCACGTCTTCACGCAAGGCAAATATTCGGAATTGCTTTCTGTCTTATGGATATGTTGCCAATTGCAATTCCCCCATGCTAGCCCCGGATTACTGAAAAAGCAGTCAGTTGGATTTTAGATTTTGCGTGTTTCAAGGACAGAAGAAGGTTCCGCTTGCGACTGGTTGTCAAAAACTCACCAGGAACAAAGACATTTCGAAAATATAGGAGCCAAAAGCCCGCCTTCAGGAACTGCTATGGTAGAAAACCGACAGGTTTCTTGTGGCCCAGCTTTCCCTCTTGGCTGAATCCATAGGCGGGTACTCCGGACACATTCTTCCATCCAGGGGAGAAACCCTCCACGGCTCAGCGGACGGCCCAGCGGACGGCTGGCACAAACTCAATTGGACCTGATGAAGGAATTTTCTATCCGTCAAAAAGATTTAGCCAACGGAGTGCTCATAGCTTTGCCCGGGATTAGTTGCACTGGCAAATTCCCAACCTTAACTTTTTTTTCTTTCCTGGGATACACAGGTCATACCACCATACGGTCAATGGTCATGGCTCCCCTGTTCGGCTTTCCAATCAGCGCGCTTCTTATATGGGATGGAGCAGGATTGACAACGCATACGGTTGTTGAATTACCTTAAACTGATCGTCAGGGCTTCCGAAAGACGACGTTCTGGGCTCTGAGCTTACCCCAAATCAACCCACTCCACCTACTCATGATTTTGATACGTTTTCCTCACTTGATTTCTTAGATGCGAAAAGTGTGATTTTTATTTTAGTTTTAATTATTATTCTTTGGTGTGGAAAATATTGCTGCAGCAGACCAGTTTAACGGGTCAGTTTTAGCTTCCGCATTAAATGCGCCGCCTTCTTAAATTCTGAGCCGCAGCTTAATAATATGCTGTAATCCGCATCGCGTGGGTTTTGAACCTCTGCCAGCGAACACCTGGATCAAAGGATGTTTGGAGTCTGCGAGAGAATACACGTGTCGGCTGTCTGTTATTATATGTATACCTCCATACGTACACAGACACTTGTCAGATAACTCCCTCAGAACTCATGTCCCAATAATGTGATCTTGGACGATGTACGGACTCGCCCTAAAACCTTAAAAGAGATCCTGCACACGTCGCACAACTTCTCATCTCGAATACGAGAGATATTAAGAAATCCAGCTTCTTTCCGATAGCTACTTGACGGCCAAAGACGGTCATGTTGGAGCTTTTTCGTTCCGCAGATCAAACAAATCTTTGTTGCAGATGCAACTTTTTTATAACCCTCACAGACCAATGTTTTAGAGATCAATGGATGACTGTCGCGATCTTAAATGCAGTGTAAAATGCCTGTGGGTCGTTGAATTGTCATCACCTTAACTATGCCTTGGTGGGATTGATCGTCCTCTCCTGTGTTGCATATATACGTTCTTTAACCGCCCGCGATAAAGACATGGGTAGCTCTATGCTGACGTGTAACTACCGGAACCAAATGTTATCCCAGCCCTCTTTCGATTTCTTCCATTTCTTTAGGGCTTAGATATCTTCCTATGCAGGCGGCAGGTAGGTGAACTGTGTGCCCATCAGTATCAGGAGCCCAAGTACTATATCTTCTTGGGGTTAACTGCCCTCTTTCTGTCGAGGCGTATAGAGTAAAATGAAACTTGATTGCTCGTATGTTCTGTTCGTAGTTAACGGCTGGATGAGATAGATAGACTGTTTTGTGCACGCTGTCTGAAATGAATGGATAGATTTCCAAAGGCTACCTACCTACTACTTTCTTCCTGACCCTCCAGCATGCCTCATCCACCCATACAGAACATTTATTTATATAAACAATGGTATAACACACTGCATTGATACAGTATCTTACGATATCTCACCATTTCATACACGTGAATGAAAATTTAAAATAAGTTCCCAGAGGAAAGAAAACGAATTAATCAATTTACTGAAAAACTTGGATATGTTCTCTTCGAAAGTAATTCCTTCTAATAAATTAATAAAAAAAAAAAAATAAAACCAATCGAACGAGGATCCCACCCTTCTCCTAGGCCACAAGCGCACCTGCAAACTCCGCCTTCCCACCTAACCAGCTCGAATACCCATCCAGCCCGTCCCATTGCACCAAGAACCGATCCACAAGCGGCAGCACGATCTTACCCGATAAGCTAAGCGTCGTGACGCGCGCCCACGACTCGACGAATATGGTGCGGAGGTATCTTTCCCTAAGGCGTGGGGAGGCGCCTTGTGGTTGTTGTTGCAGTTGAAAGAAGCAGGAGAGGAACGGGAATATAGAGTCGGTGGTACGCAGTATTTTTGCAGCGATGATGACACAAACGGCTGTGGCGGGGCCGTTTGTGAGAATTATATCTGGGTAAGGAGTTGATGGGGATGGAGTTGTAGAGGATGAAGGCGGTGATGGTGAAGATGAGGATTGGGAGGAGTAGTTCTTTTCTTCTGATAACTTTTGATCAGAGTGATTACATCGTAGAATTTGGATACAGGCCCATAGACAATGAAGAGTGGATATTGGCGCTGTTAGGTATGATTGGTGGACCCTTCTTGCACGGGGTACGGTGACGATTGTGTATGGTAATAGTAATTGCGATGGCGATGGTGATGGCGACTCAAATGGCGTTTTAGGTGAAGGTGTATCTGGAGCGTTGGTTTCATTTTCCTTGCCTTGTAACCGGATGTCTGTTGCTTGATTCCGACCCGGCGCAGGTTGAGATTGAGAATTTCCGCCTTCACTACTGGCGGAAGCGGGAGGAGAATTTTGCTGTTGCTCAAGAAGATACTGCTCATACTCCACTGCTTTGAGTGCGCTGAAGGAATCTCCTGAGCTAACCACATAGGTGCGTTTGGTGAAGAGATTAGTATCCAACGGGGCATGTTTGAGCATGGAGAGCATTTCTGCGGTGTGCCCGCCGCTGCCCAGGACTATGAGAAGATGAACGGGGCGGCGAAGTTCCTGGCCTGATGACTTTCTATTTTTGCCGCTGACATTGTTGGGTTTGTGGTTGTAATATATGGCAATCTACATCATTTGGTTAGCAGGAGTTTGCTTTTAGGGATCGTTGTAACCCCATGGTTGAGCAGAATGGGATGCATTGCTTTCAATGAAAAGAGTCCTACCAGCAAAATAGGTGTAGAAATCGTCACGAATAAAGTGAGTATGAGAGTCATAAATGCCATTGAGGTTATTGAAGGTGCGATATTGCGATATTATTGTACTTCGAGCTGTCCTGGAAGAGGAGAAAAAGGCCTATTGTATATATTCATTTAACCAACTTCGAGATAGCTCTGGCTGCATTCAGTCCAAAGATAGTCGATGTTGTAGCAGCACACCTGAAGCATCCACCATCTGGAGTGTCGAAGCAACTTCTCGATGATTGTTGTGCTCAATTCAATGCTGTTGAAGCAGTGACAGCTAATTCACAGCGGGGTTTCCCTGATTCTCCATTGTGTAGAATTAAATCGGCAGACCCTGTCCCTATTGATCATCTGTAAATGGCATCTGTATGTTGTCTGATCCCGTTCAGTTTTCATATAGTTAAATATCTATTCTGTGGGGGATGATTCTCTCTTTTTTCATACACCTGACAAGTTGACAAGTGAATGTTGCTCGTTAACTTAACATTGTTTTGGTGAACTTCATTCAAGCTGGTTATTTAGTAAACTCCAAATAATTCCACGATGTTGCCAAGCCCTGAGCCATTATTCTGTGTTGACTTTATTAGCTCCTCGCGTTCATCACCAAAGACAAAACATATCTTCCTTCGTTTCCCTGCACATTGGTGTCTTTCAACCCCCTCCGGCCTCGTCGCATGTAATAGCCATGTCGTCCCTTTTCAAAAAGCGACTGTGCTGCTTCTACTGTGGCCGTCGATCAGTTCAGTCCCAGCCCGGTCCCATCCGCCAGTGGCAGTGCCAACAGTGTCTGGCCGTCAACTACCTCGATGAAGTGAGCGCGTTTCTATCCCTCCCGTTTGTGTTGGCTGATACTAACTCTTCTGATACTTGTGTTGATAGCACGGTGAAATCACGGATCCCCCAGCCAGCGCAGCTTCTTCCGGTGTTGGGTTTAAACAATATGCGCAACCGCTGCCTGGAGAATTTGCAGCTTCAGACTCCTCGATATTCTGTTCGACTTGCTTGAAAAATCAACATGTTCTTACTCAAACTCTTGCTTCATACCTGCCGATGCCGACACATCCGGACTTTGAAACATACGAGGCGTCGTATCCAGAATACCGGAAGAGCTTGGAGGAGCGTTATCCTCAGGTATGCGAGAAGTGCGAACCCCGTGTGCGCAGTCGCATTGAGCAAGCCGGATATGTGGCAAAGGCGGATCACTTGAGGAGGATGATGGAAAAGAGCCGAAATGGTCGATCTACTCGTCGTTATCATGGATGGAGCTGGAGAAGCTTGCTTGTTTCTGCGGGTGCCATGTGCTTCCGGGCTAGTGTTGCTGGTCAGCTTGTCTGGAATCTCATGGGAGCAATGGTTGCTGGCAATATAACCCAGAACACAGAATCCGATCTCTCATTGTCGTTGTTACCGCTCTGCTTTGGTCGAATCTGGAAACATCAATCGGCCTTTGAGGAATGTTCTTCCGTTCTGACCCCTTATGCGGGGCTATCTTTGATTCTGGGGATTCTGTCAATTTGGTGGAATCCGAAGCTCAAGCATAAGGTGGAAGGGAGGGGTGGACGATTAACTGGAATTGGCGAATACTACAAAGTCCAGATCATCGTGCTTGTTGTGAGATTTGTCGCATGGGCGTGTTTGGAAGACCCTTCAATCACGGGCATCAATCCAAAGCTTGGTCCTGGTATCCATGCTTTTATGGGTATTTTCACTACCATTGTGAGTGCAGCTGGTATCTGGGATTACTTCCTATACACATATTAACGTATATTTTAGTCCACGGTTTTGTCGAGATACGTTATCAAATTTGACACCACACCTCTCATCTCCTGGCAGAGCAACATCGGACCCCTGATATCACAGAAATCAGAAGAGAACAATGCATCCACGCTACAAACAGCAAGCCCACCACACTCCAAAATCTCGTCTTTTCGTTTGGATCCTAGCTTGCAACGGTTCCCGATAAACAGCCTTGCACCTCCTCGACCCCTTGCCCAAACATCGTGTCTTCCGCCATTTCCAAAGGCGGATGTCACTGACGACTCTGACGCAATGGACTGGATACCATCTCAGCAGCCACTGCAGATAAACGTTACACCCAAACACGTTCAATCTCAGGAACCCAGAGGACCACTGCCATTCCAAGGTCAATTGCCACCAATTCCAAAGCCGCCTGCCTGGCGATTACGGAACCCTATCCAAGAGCGACCCAAAGCCCCGGAACCCAAGCCTAATCCTTTTCAGAATGCCCCAGTCCTGCAGCCAAATCTTCCTTCTAACCAGGGAAGTCATATGGAGAGTGTTATGGCTCCTCCAAAATATTTCCCGCCAGGCGATTTTGCCGCGGAAACGGGGTTGGAAAGTCTGTTCGACGAAGCCTTTTCAATCAGAGATGACCCAGTAAGCGTGCAGAAACAACCATGGAGCTCAGAATCCAAGCAGCGCGCCCGAGCTTCCGCTCGCTCGTCTCGAATTTTGAAATGTGTGTTGCTTGCTATTTCTATCTCCATATTGCTTGCCGCCCAGGCTTTCCAATTGCCTGGAAACTCTGTTGGAACTGCGGTTCTAGGAATTTCACTTCTTATTTCTGGCTTCTCGCTCCTCGAATCTCTCATGAGACCACTGGCGGTCTGGAGTGCGATTGATATAATCCTGTCCGTTGTCGAACTCGCTGCTTGCATCTGTCTTGCTATCTATTCTCCTCAAGGACTATATGATAGATATAAATTTGAGACGGCTGGAAAATGTTTGGTGGCTTTCATGGCTGGACAAGAGATGATTGCGCTGGGCTCGTTTTTCTCACGAAAGGCCGCGCCAGCACAAAATAGCCGGAAGAAACAACAGACTCAGAGCAGCCAACCACCTCAGCCACCAAACCAGACAACCCGTCCTCAAACCCAAAGATGCGACGACCCTCTTAAAAAAGAACCTAATCTCCCATCTCTCACCAACCTCAGTATCAAGCAAAAATCCATCAGAGGAACCCCTGCAAACAGCAACAGTAACAACAACCGTACAAGGAATACCCCCAACAACCCAACCTCCAGCAACCCTCACAGCACCAACACCCACAGCGCCAGTCCTGCCTACAACAACCTCGCTTCCCACTCCAATGACCCAACTGCAACTCATCCAGCCCCCTATTCCGCAATCCCCCGTCCAGGACACCTTTCCTCCTTTTCATCCTTCAACTCCCTTCCCGACAGCCTCCGCTTCACACCTCCCTCAGCCACCACAGCCACTACCTCAACGAGCTGCGCATCAGAAATTGCTTCCGAACCCGCTACTCCTCAGCGCAGATACGCATATTCTCGCTCCACGCTCTCACCTGCTCGACAGACCCCCAGCTCTGGGATCGGCGGGTTGAGTTTGGATGATAATCCGTTGCCCCAATGTCAACCGCATTCACAATCACAGTCGCAGTCGCAGTCACAGTCGACGACACGAACGATGCGATATGCACTTCGCTCGCGTCGGGGCTGAGATTAGCCTGCTTTCTTTTCTTCGCACTATTTGTGTGTTTTTTTTCTTCTTTTTTCTGTTTATTTTCAAATGATTATTCTTGTATCTGGGTTGCTGTCAGTTGATTGCTTTCCGTCCGTTTATAAAACGTCTTATGACCCCCTCTTTTTCTCCTCCTTCTATATTTGCTCTGACAATGTTAGACCATCACACCTGTTCCTTTTCGCCTACTCTTCCCACCGAATACATTCCTATGCTCACGTCCATCCTCTTCTCCCCCCCTCCTTTCGTACATTCCCTTTCTTTCGAATGGGAAAATATCATGAGAATACGCCCGGCGTTTTCCCCTTAGCATTTCCTTTTTTTTCTTTTTTCTTTTCTATTTATATATTTAAGTTGGATGGTTAGGTTAGCTTCTTTCACCTTTCCTTCTCTACTGTTTTTCTGTAAACCGTACAACTTTTTATTTTTTACTTTTTATTTTTTTACTTTTTTATGATAATTCTTTTTGTTTTCTTCTTAAACTGCCTCTATCAGAGTACGGAGGTACATACACGCGGACATATAACCTGCAATAGCGTTTTTCAGTGAATGAGATTGTTTAGTCAGTATAGGATGGAGGATAACGATATGATCAGCCCTATGTTATTTCACCTTTTACTTCTCTCGACGGGAGATGAAGAGTCAGTTCAAAAATCATGTATGTTTTATTCAAAGAGGCATGGATTTTCATGTTTTCTTGTTCACCACCAAACATGACTTTTCACATGAGCACCACGTCCCAGTAACTAGGGTATGGTATACTCGAGTAGGGAACCATTTCCACCAGGCTATGATGCAGAACTTTAAAGTATTAGGAGGGAGATGCCTTTTGACAAATCAAAATGTTCTATTGAACATGTTCTCTTGGGAGTGAGAAACTATATATTGCCTAGAATGAAGGGGAAAAAAAAAAAGAAAAAGAAAAGGGGGGAAAGAGAGAGAAATGCCAAGAAATGCCCGCTAACAGACCTTTTACCTTTTATGACCCCAAGTTTTGATCCCTTCTAATCGTAGAAATATCCATCATAAAGGACGCCTGTCATGTCTTTGTTGCCAAACTAAAGCACAATTGAATGTAGTTGCAGAGCTCGCTTCATGCTGATTAAGTAATGGATGTGGAAATGCTAAGTGGGTGCTAAAATGGCGTTTGCTCGTCCCTGGTTATCACAAGGTCGGGAGCAATTTATACAACATACGAAATTATTCTTAACTGGCGGGATGAGTGTGTGTGGTTCCCGGAAGAGGTGGCAGCAGGTTCTTGGCTGTCTCTCGAGCATTTTGTGCCATCAATGCATCGGTAATGACCAAGGCAGCCATAGCTTCAACAATAGGGACTGCTCGAGGAACAACACACGGGTCATGTCGCCCTTTAGCCTCAAGGACACCTTCTTCAAAGTCATACTTGGTTGTTGTTTGAGCCTGCCCAATTGTAGCAGGGGGCTTGAAGGCAACGCGGAAGTATATTGAAGCACCATTTGAAATGCCACCTTGTATACCTCCTGAATTGTTGGTTTTTGTGGTTAATCGCTTTGAGTCGGGGTTCTGTCCATTCCGGGTGTCTGGGGTTGCGACGAATGGGTCGTTATGAACAGAGCCCGGGATTTCGCAACCAAGGAATCCGGATCCTATCTCAAATCCCTTCGTTGCGGGGATAGAAAGCATCGCGTGCGCGAGTTTGGCCTCGAGTTTATCAAAGCAAGGCTCCCCCAGTCCAACGGGGACGTTTCGGATAACACAGCTCACTGTTCCTCCGATGCTATCGTTCTGATCCCTGAAATTTTCGATGACTCTGGTCATCCGCTCCGCGGCGGATGCTTCAGGGCACCTGACGGGGGCAAAAGAGTCGACTGTCGGCCGATCGATGGTCTCGATCAGTTTCAAAAATTCAGGGTTCGTTGTCGGGTTAGGATGAGCAGCAGTGGGAGGAAAGAGATGTTCGTTCCCCACGGAGGAAACAAAGGCAACAATGTCAATGTCATGGGAAAGCCTAAGGTATTTCTCTGCGATAGCTCCAGCAGCAACCCGACCTGATAATTTAATTGTGAGCAATGGCAATCTCGACAGGTGAATTCTTAGATACAAAAGGGGCTGGGAAAGGATCGAAGTTCCAATATGGACACACCTATAGTTTCGCGAGCACTGCTTCTACCGCCGCCACTGCTTGCTTTAATGCCGTATTTCTCTAGATATGTGAAATCCGCATGGCTAGGGCGGGGGTAAAGGTCCATGGTGCTTCCACCGTAGTCTTTAGGTCTCTGATCCTCGTTCCGGACAATCATACCAATGGGCGTGCCCAGAGTGATACCAAATTCGGTGCCAGACTGAATCTCAACTCTATCCTTTTCATTTCGGGGGGTGGTAAGAGCACTTTGGCCAGGTCGTCTGCGGGTCATCTGGGGTTGGATGTCCGCTTCGGTGAGGGCCATTCCTGGTGGACAACCGTCCACAATGCAGCCGACGGATCGACAATGGGACTCGCCATAGCTAGAAGATATGTTTAGGCCCGAACAGAACGCTGAAATGAGTGGTCAATTCTTACGTAGTCACCCTGAAATACTCCCCAAATGTGGACATGGCGGGCGCGCGGCTAAAGAACGGGCGGAGCGGACTTCTATGGGAATGGTCGTTTTGCTCGATTCTCAGAGCAACGAATTAAAATTAGCAAAAGCGATGGGGCTCCAAAGGAGGATTTCAAGTGACCTTTGGAGTCTTCCAGCGCTCTGAACAAGCATGAAATATAAAGATCAGGGGGCAGCGGCGGTGGGTTGAATAAATAAATTGGGGCCGAGCTCAATTCCGCCCAAGTCGGATGACTCAGGCACTGACCGACCTTTCCTGTTCAAGCCTAGCCGCAATCTTCTCGAGCTTCCCACTTTTTGATGTTCCCGAAGGTTTGAACATTGACAAAAGATTATAGCAGATCGGTGGACACTTTGCAAGAGGACTTATTATGAACTTGTCGCCCCATCAATGCTCCCATTGCGCCCTTTGCAATGGACGCCTCCTACGCATATATCACCGCTCCATAAGGCCCAGCAAAGGCTCGTTCTTGGTGGCAGAAGACATGTTTCAAGTCTCGCAGTTGCTGCAAGCAGTCGATCCTGTCAGCATCAAATCTATCATTCTCACTCCAACGACCCCTTCGTGAATCTCTCAATTGAGAACTTTTTACTCGAGGATACACCCCAAGACTCACGCATCCTTTTCTTATACGTAAACAGGCCTTGCGTCGTCATTGGCCGGAATCAAAACCCATGGCTTGAAACAAATCTCCCGGCATTACAACGTGACACAGCTACCAACAATGCAGATATTGTACGGCGGAGATCTGGAGGCGGTGCAGTATTTCATGACGAGGGCAATCTGAATTATTCTGTCATCTGTCCGAAACCCATTTTTCATCGGGACAAACATGCGGAGATGGTGGTCAGGGCCCTCCATCGTGTAGGGGCGACCAATACAAAGGTAAACGGGCGGCATGATATTGTCCTTGGGCAAGATACTAAAGAACCATCCGCCAAAGTCGTCCAGCTTCAAGCGGAAGATGTGGAGGGTCCTCAGGACGAGAAAATACACAATACAGTCAAAATATCGGGCTCCGCGTACAAACTCACCCGATTTCGAGCAATGCACCACGGAACTTGCCTGGTAGATTCCCCGAACCTTGGAAACATAAGCGCTTTCTTACGATCTCCTGCGAGACCTTACATCAAGGCGAAGGGCGTGGAAAGTGTTAGGTCGCCTGTCGGGAATATTTCAAGCGCAGTTCCCTCCAGCTCCTGTCTGATGGAGCAGGTAGTTTGCAATATCATAGAAGAATTTGCCCGGCTTTATGGCATACACCGGGATGCTGTTTTACGTGCCCAGAGAGCCCACGCAATTGGCCCGGAGCTTCATACGGGAGATAACTGGGCTGTTGGTGGGCTTGATGACTTCCATGCTCTCGAAGAGCCGGCAATTGTCAAAGGGATTCAGGAGCTTCAGGTTTGTACGCTCGCCCTTGTAAATGTCCCCCCTGAACTGCCAGACTAATATATTCATTAGTCTTTGGAATGGAAATACTGTCAATCCCCTCAATTTACTTTCTCAACCCATCCCAACGACGAGGACGCTAGGCCCAGACCGCCTCTTCCGCCAGACCTGCCAACCTCAGTAAGTACTAACCAAAACGCTCACCCGGCCCTGTTCCCTCTCCTCCTTTGTGATAAAAATCAAAAATGCCGTTTTCCCGAACGGCAATACCGAGTCCTTACTAACATGTATCTCCACCTGCACAGACACGTGTCTTCCTGCGAGTGAAATCCGGTGCAATTATCTCCAGCGAGGTTTCCACCTCCACAGATAGCGAGCAGGCTGACATCCAGTCCCGAAAAATCCACGAGGTCCTTGCCAATAGGAAACTACATGAAATCTCCGATTGGACGAGTCTGCTGGCCGGATCCGGCGCTTTCGATTCTTACGCAGATATTGGCAGCATCTCCAACTGGCTTACGAGCAAGCTTGGACACTGATGCATGCATTCCTCTTCTACGTTTCACCGTTTGCTTTATGACTTTGGCGGGGATCACATGCATATGAATGTGCATAAAATCCGGATATTTGGCAGTAAGATTAAAACACGGTATCTAGTTACGGCAGGTGAACGTAAGCGTAACAACATATATGTATTGAAATACCTGACAAGCTCTGAATGAATTATGATAGATATATAGCCAATAGATTTCACGCTTATACACATTAAGGAATTGAATGGGTGATGGAATGGCGATGTCTCTCACTGCAAGGGAAAAAGATAGGAAAACATGAAACAGAAACCCATCATTCAAAGAAACCACGCCACAAACTCGCCAGCATATATGCCTTCGCAATGTTCTTGGTATCATTAAAATCATATCGTTCACCACATACATCTAAAAATCGCCACATAAATATGGACATCACAGATCATCAATAAAACATCTCCCTAACCTATTTCTCAAAATACTCCCAAAGAGAGTCGAAAAATCACATTTTCAACAAAAGAAAGCGAGAGGGGAGAATCAAATTAAGCAATCGACTCTCCCGCTGCTGAAAACACAGCGCCCAAAAGCAGCCAATCACCGACCTGCTTTCTGTTCAGGAACCGAATCCGACTATTGGTGGCCTTGATCCCGCCCATCCCTATAATCACCCGTATCGCGACTCGTCAGTTCTGTAGTTTCCGGTTACCTAACAGAGTTGTCATCACCATCTCCAACGCCTGGGTTGACAACTCTCAGCTTCTCCTTCGGTACAGTGTACGTGACCTGCACCAGCCTCCCTTCCGCAGCAGCCTCAACATCCCATTCCTCCTCGTCATCATAATCAAAGAAATGGGCTGAATCGCTTCTTCGAATTCCACACGCACCACCATCCGACAACGCTGGCCCATTGGCATGAGAATTTCCACCACGAGGCGCTGGAAGCATCTCGTTATCAGCAAAAGATCTCTTCGCACCCCAATCCTTTGCACCTTGTTTGCGCCTTAGCATGGATGAGCTGGTGCTCACAGCCCTTCGAGGAATGCTGTTTGTTTCCGAACCAGTCGATTCTCTATCATCATGGAAGCTATATAGGCTTTTAGAACGGCTCGTGTTCGTGCTCGTGCTTCGTCGCCGTTGCATCGTCGACACGTTTTCGGAGCAGACAGGGTATGGTTCTGCGGGGTCTTCTGTCCTCCTCACCAAACGTATAGTGCGTCTGGAATTGTTAATCAATCCTAGACCTTTGACTTTTGACAGGTTTAGGCTTCTCTTTGAGGATTCCAACGGTGCAGTGCCAAGCAGCAACCCACTTTTTGCCTGCAGTTGGCTGAAAGAACTATTATGTGCAAAATTCAAGGGTGTAATTGTTGTGTTTGAGGATTGCGTCATCTCGGGGGATAGGTCGTTAACTGGATTGAAACTACTAGAAGTTGTGGGTTGTAGATGCGATTGGTATTGATTGTGCTTTTCTGGGGACGAGCTACGAATTGGCTCGTAACCAATGGAAGAAGAACCAGCAGATCCCCCATTCCTTTGAGACCGAAAGCTAAGCATTGGCGCCAAATTTTTGTTCAGATATAGAGGATTCGTTTGATGAGAATATACCGACAAGGATGAGCCGGAAGCCTCAGATAAGTTAGAGGGAGTACGGTCACTTTTATTAAGTGGCAGGCAGCGGTTACCAGAACCATTGGCATTGACGTCATCTATCCATTCGGGGGGTGCGGATTTTTCATAAAACGCCGACATTCGCCGCTGCGTATGGCCCGCGCTGTGGGACTCACTGTATTGGGCAGGATCACGGAAAGGATTGGAGATTACAGAGCTGCTGTTCTCTCGATGTGTTTCTCCCTTCTCTGCAGCGATGGATTCATCTTCTCGAGAGTCTTCATACTCGTCTCCTTCGTCGATGGGATGTATAGCACTGAATCCCACATTTTTTCTCGAATTGTCATAGTGCAATGCTGGTTGATATCCTCGGGAATGCATACCTCTTCGAAGCCCTTTTGTAGGACTTGATATTTCCACGAGCAGTTCAGTTCTTTCTGCAGCGAGCGCACCAGGTTTTTGCGAACCATGCAGCCTTCCGCCCATTTCATTGTCAAACGAAAAGTGAGCATTGGGATGGAGAGACAGTTTATCTGTTGTTACGTGACTCACCGGGTCATGAATGTTCCCGGATAAGTCAAAATGTGGACGTTCCGCTCCTAGAGCAAGCCTTCGCAATTCCTGTTCTCGAATTCTCCGATGATCCCGCGAGTGACGAGAACTAATACGGTAAATAAAAGAGACTAACACAGCAACAATTATAATCCCAATTCCGACACCCATCCCAAGGCCAGCCTTCTGTGCGGTCGACGAGAGTGGCCCATGCATCTCTATGGGGCTAGATTCCATCCAGTTTACCGGAGTGTAAGAAGCAATCCAACTACCCGAAGATGTGTTGAAAAGATATCCCTGCGTATTGGCGATAAGCGTGGTAAAGGATTGCTTTGATGTCGACTGATGAATGCTAAACCCCCCTGCTACCAACATAATACCTCCGGGGAGCATTGCCGCACCGTGGCCAAAAATTCCGGTGCCATCTTTTGGTCCGAGTATGTTTTGCTGAGGGACTGTCCATCTCCAGTCTCCCGTTCCTCCATACGACTTTCCAACTTCAAGAATCGCAAGCTGAGGTTGAGCGGGAGTGCTGATGTCGCCAACCCACCCTCCAAAAACAATGATTTTGCTGCCATCTGGTGTCATAACTGCGGTATGACCAGAACGCGGTTCTATTCCGTCGATATCGCCCAAATCTAGCTTGGGGAAATTTATGCCTTCCTGACTCACAGAAACAAAACTCCAAGTAGCTTCAGGGAGGGAAAAGAGTGCAATCTGGGACATACTGACAAAGGCATTTTGGGTATGTCCACCAGTGAGAACGAAACTCCGATGCTCCAGGAGTTTACCACTCGAGGTATTTGAATAAGCTGGAATCATTGGTGTCATGGCAAACCCTGCTTCGGCGACCGGAGGAGATCGTGAAGTCACGATTCGAAACTGATAAGACGAGTTTGATGACGACCCCTCCGCGGTGAGGGATACCATAGTTTGGGAATAGTTGGCAGAAGAGACCCAGTCGTCATTCTTCCTGCCCACCGTAAACGGACACATTCCCCCGAAAACAAAGAGGTCGGGCCGTGGCGCATCTCCAGTTGCAGGATATGTAATTGCTGATGACAAGAACGCTGGTCCAGGGTTCCCTTCATCGCCATGGACTGATGACTTCTGCCATTGGAAATTGCCGCTCGACACCCCATTTCCTGGCAGAAGCCTCCAAACGTTGGAAGTGTTTGTATGACAGTCCCCGGTATAAACCGTCAAGACACCCTCTGCATCGGTGGTTGCAATGAATGTTTGCTCGCCATCATCCGTAGCAAAAGGTACATTGTCCCGAAGTTCTGTGATCGGGAGCTCGGAAGAGTTGAAGGGAGCTGAGATATTTAAAGACTGTAGTCGGAATCCTGTCGATGGGGCCAAAGGAGGAGATAGGATGTACAACTCGGTCTGGTTCTCGGAAGTCGGGTTGCTGATATATGAGGGGTTGTAGGGCAGTTTGGCGACTGCTTTCCCGATCAGAAGAGATAGGAACCCGGCAATGGTAAAGTCTAGAAGGATCATCGTTCTGAGCATCTTGAACCGCTTGCACTAGCTGGAGGTGGCTTGGCAACATATCCATGCGTTTATAATTCCTAAAGCCAATATTGGAACCATGGGGGGTGACCTGGTCAATGCAGCGGTGCGCTGTTAGCTGGGTCTTACGTACGACAGTTCAGCTTAGTAGATACAACGTCAATACATCCTCTTGATGTAATTCACCGTCAGACTCAGGATTGTGGATGGTAAGCGGAACGGAAGAATAATGGTGAACAGAGAGACAGATGATAATCCCAACCCCTCTTCCGCTACAGATTGATTCGGGTAGGAAAGCAAAGTGGAGACTCAGCTATTGCCTTTGGCCATGCTCAGTGCTGGAGATATTAGAAGTTGGGATACACCATTATCTAGATCCTGGGAAGGTGTTGTGAAATATGATTCAATTTATCAACAAAGCCTTAATGAAATAGTTGCCGAGCAACGAAACCAGAGTTCTGGCTGACATAAGTCCCGAAACCCTGAATTATGTTTCATTAAGAAAAATCTTTCTAATTATATTTTAATATTTATAATATTTAATATAATTATTATATACATTTAAACTTATAATAAAAGGAATTGAAATAAAACTTTTTAAGAAAATAATAATAAAAGAATAAAAATATAAAATATAAAATAATATTTAAATTAAATATTTATTAATTATATACTTTAAATTAAAATTTTATTTAATTTTAAAATTTAATTTTTTTATAAAGTTAATTAAAAAACTTTTTTAATTTAATATTAAAAAGAAAAGATATATTTAATAAATTAATAAAGTATTTTAATAAAATTTATAAAATATTATTATTTAAAAAATAATTTATTAAAATATAATTTTACTTTCATTTAAATTAAAAAATTATATTTAATTAAATTTATATAATTTTTAATTTTTTTTATACTTTATTAATAAAAACTTTTAATTTTATTTTATATTATATATATTAATTATTTTTTCTTTTTTAGTTCTATTTATTTATTAAAATATAAATTTTTAATTTTTTTTTAATATATAATTTTAATAATTATTTTTTAAATTAATTTTAAATTTATTTAATTGTTTTATATTTTATATTTTTAAAATATAAATAATTTAAAATAATTTAAAATATTATATAATTTTTAAATATTTTTATTTAATTTTTATATTATTTAAATATATAAATAAAAAATTCAATTAATTTTCTATAACTTTTAAATATAAATAGTTTTTTTAAAAAATATAATATTAAATGAAAATAATTAATTTAATAAAATTTACTTATAATTAAATTTTTTTATTGTAAAGAACAGTTCTATATATGTAACTTTATAAAATAATTTATAAGTTAGAGTATTCTGTAAAATTTTATTTTCTTTATAAAATAACTTATGAATTGACTGCATTTGAATGCAAAAGGAAGTTCTCATAACCTCAGAATGGCAAGCTTAGCTTGATTCATTGTGTGTGTGTGTGTGTGTTTTTATTTAACACCTGGTTAGTCCACGTGCCTTAAGGGCATGTGATCTAGTAGAGTCTGCGTTGAACTATAGGGCAGATAGAGCTACGCCTGTAGGCGACTACCTATCTAGTAGCTATCTTACAAATGAGGCAAAATGGGTTGTGTATTGCTACACTGGCAGAGCCCATGAGTCAGTTGCCATAGGGCAGAGGTTTTGAGAGGTTTTAAGTTTGTGGGAGGGAGGTAGAGGAGGTGGATAGAAAGAGAGGCAAGAAAGGAAAGAAAGAGAAGGAAAGAGAGGAAGAAGAGAAAGGTGATGAAGAAGATGAGAGCAAGACAGAAGAGGGAATGGTCTGTGAGATCTGATCTGAAGGTGCATGTCAGTGCATTGAACAGATGTTCTGATAGAAGGCTGTTTCTCTTAGCCATCTATCAAATTCTAGGGCTCTACATGAGATTGCCAGTGTCTTGCAAAGATTGTAGATAGGCCAGTGCTGCTTTGCCACTTTTCTTGCAAGAGTGCAATAGTAGAAATGTTCTGGGGTTTTGCTATGTCCACACCAGCAGTAGCACTCTGCATCTTCATGCTTAAGGTGGCTGTGGTAGGCTGCAAAGTCTCCATGACCTGATCAGACAGCATAGAGCTTTCCTAATGTGAAGTGTGAAAGTTTTACCTTCATTGAGGCTCTCTTCAGTGGGATCTCCAGCTCCATATAGCATTTGAGCAGGTTTTTGGCCCAGTAGTTCTCAAAGGCCTGTGTGATTTGTTCCATAGTGTACCACTTTATATAAGCTAGAGTGTCTATGCTGTCAGGTTGAGGTACTGTGCTTGTACTTGCTGCCTGTGCTGCAGCTGCTTTGGCTTCAAGATCTGCCTTTTCATTACCAGCCATGTCTGTGTGGCCTGGGACCCATCTAATGACCACTCTGCTCTGGGTGGTCAATGAGAGCCTATCCCTGCTCTGCCAGGCCTTTATGGCTGTAAAGGGTTAAGCTCTAAGAACTAGAGGCTAGTCCTCCTATATAACAAGGACGAATTGCTTGAGAAAGGGAAGAAAAGAATGAGACGAGAACTCGAGCTTAAGCAAGCTCGCGTAGCATGATCACGTGCGCACGTGCAAACGATGGCTAGGCTGAGTCAGCCAGCCAGAGCGAATCTAGGGGTTCAACCCCTTATACTACCCCCCTTCTCCCTCTTTGTTGCGGGCCTTTACGACTATTTAAAGCCCTCTTTACACCTAATTTTGCCTGCTGAGAGGCCTCCCAAGCGTTCAAGGCCTTCGCTTCTTGTAGGAGACTCGCGTCATTCCACGTAGGCTCAGCCCAACCTACCCATTTAACGAGGTATTGCTTTTTCCTCCGGTAGGTTCGTTCGCCCTGAATTTCCTCAATCTCAAACTCAGGTCCTTCCGGGGTCTCTATAGCGGGTGGCTGCCAGTCAGTTTGCCTCTGACTAGGCAGGGGATCCGTCGCCGCAGCATGTAGAAGCTTTACATTAAAGACATTGTGAATGCCGGGTGGGACGTCCAGTCGGTAAGCATGGGATCCTATCTTTTCTAGCACAGTATATTGATTGTATTTCGCGTCCAGCTTCTTGCACAGGCGATTAGTTCTCATGTTCTCTAAGCTCAACCAGACCTTATCTCCAGGTTGAAAGCTTGAAGCCGGGTCTCTTCGTCTATTCGCGTATTTCTCTTGAGATTGCTGAGCATCCGCCATTTTTACTTGAGCCCACTCCAACACTTCGCGGGCCTTCCTCATGTAATCATCCGCAAACTCAATGGGATTACGTGGCGTTTCAACGGGGGGTGCATCGGCTATATCAATGGAGGAGACGTGGAAAAGGTGCGTTAAAAAGAACGGGCTCACACCCGTTGAGGCAGCATCTCTATTATTGATGGCCAGCTCTGCTAGAGGGAGCCATTCACGCCAGTCATCCTGTTGAAAGCTAACGTACTTGCGTAGGTAGGTTTCCAGGGTCTGGTTCATTCGCTCTGTAGCTCCGTCAGTCTCTGGGTGATAGGCTGTGGAGAGTCGTCTCTTAATGCCTAATTTCTCACACACCCGAGTCCAAAACATGCTTGTGAAAGCTGACCCTCGATCTGACACTACCGCCTTAGGGATGCCATGTCGAGGGATGATGTTGCGAAGGAACACTCTAGCCACTGTCTCCGCATCAGTTTTCTTAACTGCTTTTAATATAACCCCCTTGGTCAGTCTGTCCGTTATAACCATGATGTTCGTGTATCCTTTAGAGCTCGGTAAGTCCACGATAAAGTCCATGGAAAGCTCCTGCCACATGCGTTCAGGAATGGGGAGAGGCTTAAGCAGTCCCTGACGTCGATCTCTCCATGCGGTGTTTGATCTGCAAAGGTGGCAGTTCCTGGTCATTCTTCTCACATCGGCGGCATAGCCTGGCCAGTAGAACTCACGTCTTAGAACTCCTGCCGTTTGCTCTCGCCCGGGATGGCCGGTAAGAGGTGAGTCATGAGCCTCGTGCACTAACCTGGTTCGAAGAGGTTCGAAGTCTGGCACCCACTTACGATCTCGAAAGAGAAGCTCCCCGTTCTCATTTAAAGAGCACTCAGAGACGGAGGCCTTAATGCCGAGTTCAGAAGGAAATCTGGATCTTCCCTCACGAAGAGTTTGCTCCAGACGCTGCAGGATCTTGTCATTTTTGCGGGCCTCATTCCACTGAGCTTGAAGAGACATCTCAGGTTCCACGCTGGCAGCGGCCACTATTGGTTCCATTCCAGGTGCCAGTACATTAAACTTAAGTAGTTGAGCTTGCCTCTGCTTGATCCTCTCATCATCAGCGCCCTGTGGCATGTCCTGCTCTCTTCGCGATAGGGCGTCCGGTCCAGCGTTCAACTTCCCTGGCCGGTAATCAATCCTGAAGTTGAATCGATAGAGAATATCCATCCAACGTAGCTGTCTTTCATTTAGTCTGCGTGTAGTCATGAAGTATTCTAGATTCTTATGATCTGTGAGGATCTTGAATTCCTTTACACTTCGTAGCTCAGCGTCCCATTCCTTTAAACACTCAATTATCGCTAATAACTCCTTATCATGAATCTCGTAGTTGCATTCCGCAGGTGAATGCTTGCGAGAGAAGAAGGCACATGGGCGTAGAATGCTCTGCTCGTCATATTGTAGCAGCACTCCTCCTGAGGCGTAACCTGAGGAGTCCGTTTCCAATATAGTCTCACGGTCAGGGTCGAATTGAAGCAGGATCGGAGCGGAGATAAACATTGATTTTAGACGCTTAAAAGCTTCCTCAGCCTTGCTCGTCCACAAAAAAGGAACATTCTTGCGTGTAAGAATCGTCAGTGGGGTCGCGATCTTTGAGAAATCCCTGATAAATCGTCTATAGAAATTGGCAAAGCCTAAAAATCCTCGTACACCTTTAAGAGTAGTAGGTGTTGCCCATTCCAAAACAGCTTTAACCTTCTCCGGATCCATTCGTATACCCTTGCCCGCTTCAATGATGAATCCAAGATATTTTGTGCTGTTCACCTCAAACTCACTCTTTCTGATGTCTGCCTGCAG